AGGCCTGTAGGACAGAGTTGGATGGCCCAATGTTACAGAAGAACTTTGGGTGACTGTCCAGGCAGCCAGTTGTTCCTGTCATTAGGTAACATTTCACCCTTTTGGGGTTTTTGATGGAGTTAAAGACTAAATAATTAAACTTATAGTTTTCCTTAGTTATGATAAAAGTAAATTAGGTATAAAACTTTTAGACTCACAAAGATAAGATAGATAATGGAGTGTTTTTCTTTAATTTTGCCAAATACAAATGGACTGGATATTGTATCTGTAATTCTTACTTGATAACTATTTTTGTTATATATAGTTTTACTATGTTAAAGTTAAAACCTTTTTTAATTAGATAAAAGGGGGAAATGTTGGAATAATCTTTTTGTACACTGTGAAAACGTGTCTTTGTCAAGGTGCCTTCTGATTGGTTTAATGAAAGAGCTGACTGGCTGGTAGCTAAGCAGGAGGTACAGGCAGGACAGCAAGACACAGAGGATGCTGGGAAGAAGAAGGGTGGAGTCTGGGGAGTCTCAAGCAGACTCAGAAAGAAGCAAGATGAATGCGCTGTATTGAAAGAAGGTACCACCACGTGGCAGAGGCTAAATAAGAAATATGGGTTGGCCAGGCAGCAGTGGCACACACGTTTAATCCCAGCACTCGGGAGGCAGACCCAGGAGAAACTCTGTGAGTTCAAGGCCAGCCTGGTCTATAGAGTGAGATCCAGGACAGGCATCAAAACTACACAGAGAAACCCTGTCTTGAAAAGAAATATAGGTTAATTTAAAATATAGGAGCTAGTTAGTAACAAGCCTGAGCTATCAGCCAAGTATTTATAATTAATAATAATAATAATAATAATAATAATAATAATAATAATGTTTTTGCCTTTCCTGCCTGATGCTACGTCTTTCCCACCATGAATGCATGCATGCCTTGGGAATTGTGAGCCAAAATAACTTTCTCCCTTAGTGTGCTTTCGTCAGGGTGTTTATTACATCATGTGAAACATCACACCATTTTTTTCTACAGTTTTATTTAAATCCTAAAATTTATTGCAAAATCACATTCACATATAATCCATCATTTGATTCTCACAGTTGCCCGAAGGTGTAGAAATGAACAAAGTTTTGTTCCTTTACCCAGGCTTTTCCAACTGGTAAAGACCAAGCACTTTCCTAAGAGCCAAGACTGCACACAAGTTTGTTACGTCCCTGTGTAGGGCCTTTATCACTTCATACTTCAGACACGAGAGACCCCTGAAGTGACTGTGTTTCTCCACCTTCCCCAGTCTGGGCTTCCTGCCTCGCAGACCCATGCAGATGTCTCTGTACTGCATTCTTTGAGGAAATGGGGCTTTCTTTCCTGAACTGAGGAGTTGTAACCTGTGCTCCAGGACTGGCAGTGATTTAGTTTTCTGATAATTTATGAGCTACTGATTTTTAAACTCGTGTCAGGGCTACTTCAGGGGTGTGTGTGTGTGTGTGTGTGTGTGTGTGTGTGTGTGTGTGTGTCTTGGTGACCATGTTGAAGTCTGAGGACAACTTGTGGGAGTCAGTTCTCTCCTTCCACTGTGTGGATTCTGGGGAGTGCCTTTACCCTCTGAGCCATTTCCCTGGCCCAAAGCCCTGCAGTTTTTAAAGACTTGGTTCTCACTCATCAGTAGAGCTTCAGGCTGCAGCAGGATGATTGCCTCTCTTGGATGTAACTTTTACTCCCTTGAACTTGATTGACTTCTGGTGGCCTGGTCACTATCTGTACCACTGTGGATTAGGTGTGTTTGGACACTGCATTCCCACCTCTTACTTCTGGAAAGACTTTTGTTTATTCTGACTCAAGCTTCTTTCTTTTCCTTATCCTGGATCTTGAAGACTATTAGGAAAAGTCCTTACACAGATACTCTGGGAATTGGACTTGTAAATAGGTGCTCATAGGGAAAGACTCAAAGAGCATAGGATGCCGTTTTTATTTTTGTGTGGTTTTTGTTTGTTTGTTTTACTCTGCTCATTTCTTAAGCTACTTGGGGAAAAGCCAAAAAAATTGTAGATTAAATCTTTTTATGCTGGGCAGTGATGGCACACACCTTTAATCCCAGCACTTGGGAGGCAGAGGCAGTTGGATCTCTGAGTTCAAGGCCAGCCTGGGCTACAGAGTGAGTTCCAGGACAACCAAGATTACACAGAGAAACCCTGTCTTGAAAAACCAAACCATCCAAACAAAAAACCCTCTTTACAAGTAGTTCAACTAGACTGTCTAAATACATGGTGTGGACCAGAATTTTGTTCCATGGACTGTGGCTTACTAGGTTAGTCAGCATAAGCTGAGTCATGGAGGATTTCTAGCTAAATAGAGATTTTCACCACAAAGAGTTTGCTGTAGAGGGATTTATCCAGAAACACAGAGCTCTTCCAGCTAATGCCAGGCTGATTCGGGTGGGCAGAGGAAGTGGAAAAACACTGTGGACGTAGTCTGCTGGCCGGGGGTCAAAGCAGAGTGAAAAAAAAACACAAACAAAGTTCTGTGTGAAATGGGAGTGACTGAGAACGCGAGAAAATAAAAGAGCTCACCTCCTCCTGGAGTGTGGGGAAGCCTCTCCTTGGAGCGCTTTCTTTTTTTAAAAAAAGGATGTATTCACTTTATTTTAATGTGTATATGTAGTAGGAATCTTAAATGGATCTTCTTAATGAAATCAAGCCTGAGGCCAAGTATTGGGGTGAACGCTGGAAGATCAGAGAGACAGAACAAGCCACAGCTAACCTCACCTGGCCAACTTCTCAGCTGATCTTGTTTCCTCAGACTGGATGCCTCTGTGTCCTCATATCTGAATGGCTCTCAGCTGAACTGTTTCTCGAAAACCTGAAAGCTTAACCAGCCAAATGCTTCTAGTTTCTAGTCTTCACGCCTTATACCTTTCTGCTTTCTACCACCACTCCCTGGGATTAAAGGCTTGCTTTCTGGGATTAAAGGCATGTGTCACCATGCCTGGCTGTTTCCAATGTGGCCTTGAACTCACAGAGATCCCAGATGAGTTTCTGCCTCTGGAATGCTAGGATTAAAGGCATGAGTGCTACCATTTTCTAGCCTAAGTATCTAGTGGCTTTTCTGTTCTCTGACCCCAGATAAGTTTATTAGGGTGCACAATATTTTGGGGACCACAATACCACGACATGTATATGTGTGTGCTTACATGTATGTATGTTCACCCCATTATGCAGGTGTCCTGAGAGACAGAAGAGGGTGTCCAATCCCCTAGAACTGGATTTACAGGTGATTGTGAGCTGCCCCATGCTGGGAACAGAACCTCAGTCCTCTGCAATAGCTGCACTGGCTCTTAACCCTGAGCCCTCGCGCTAACTCCGAGGACCACTTCTTTTGGCTGTAACTGTTGTCCTTCCCTGGAGAGTCTAACTTGGCTCTCCCTGATGCCTTTTCAGAGTCAAGCTAATTCTCTCCTCTCAAGAAAGAAAGCGAGAAAAAAAAAAGACCTTGAGAGGTCTCTTTTTCTAAGAACCTGTGCCAGAAATTCAATGAATTTGAGATAGCATGCAGAGCCAAGAGCTGGGAACTGAGTCAGGTTCATCCTTCGTTCTTCTGGCGCCACCTCGTGTATTAAAATGGAACTTTTTTTTGGGGTCGTGGTAGTAGGGGTTTTTTGTTTGTTTTGGAACATAACCTTCGCTGGCTTGTAATTCACTCATTAGACCAGGCTGGCCTCAAACTCACAGAGATCCACCTGCCTCTGCCTTCTAAGTGCTGGGATTAAAGGCATGTGCCACTATTGCCCTGCTTAATTCCCCAACTGAAAGTTTTCTAGATCCCACTTGCAGTACGAAGGAATCACCTTCTCTTTTGGCCAGCCTCTCGGGTCACTGACTAATTCCTTGTCACTTCTGAGGCTCTTCCATAGTCACGTCCTGCGGGATTCATTTTTTTTTGCAGCCTCTCGGCATCATTTTCTAGCCGATTCAGCACAATAATTCAACCTTCATAAGATGTTTCAGTGGTACTTTCTTTGAAAAGTGGTAGCAGCAGAGCTTTGCTTAGCTTAGCATGTCTCTGCTTCAAATGTGTAATTTTCTTCCTGCTCTACCGGCGCCAGACTATAGTTTGAAAATGTTCCACCGGATAAGATACACTAAGGTGGACATCATCCAGGCCAGGGTAAAGAAAGCTTCTCTGTCTTTCCTTCTGGCAGCGTTACCACGTTCCTTTCCCCTGAGCCAGAGAAATATCTGATATTCCAGCACTTTTTGGATGCAAGACAAAAAATTGGGGGGTGGGGTGGGGAAAATTAAGACAGGGTTTCATATAGCCCAGGTTTGCTTTGACCTTGATGCGTCCTTGATGATGTCCTTGAATTTTCTTGCTCCTCCCACCCCCAAGTGCTGGGATTACAGGCAAATACCACTACACATGCCTGGAAAGTAAATTTTCTAATCTTTTTAAGCTAATGAAAGTGCCTAGATTTTTTTTAAAAAAGTAAACAAAATTTTACTTTGGCATAAAAATATTAAATTCTAACAGAATCTGTTTTAAATAAAATTTAAACATTGAGAAAATTTCCAGCAAGTTAAAATTTATCTTTGCAGAACTACTCTGTCGGGCAAACTTTCCCTTTTGTTGAGGTATAGGAACAAAAACAACTGAAAGATTTTTTTAAACATTTCACTTATCACAGACATTTCACTAACACAGAAGTTTCAGGTGTTAAGAGCACGATAAAGAAGATAGTGGATCAGGTCTGTAATTCCTGTACCCGGAGCCTGAGGCAGGAGAATGGCATGAATTCATCATCCTACTGCTAGGGAGAGTCTAGAAAATACAAGAATACTAGGGCGCACACGTTTCACCGCTCCTGGGAGCGATCTTCTCCAAGCCTCTTGAGAACTCTGCTCTTCCTCGTAGACTCGCGCGCCCCCTGGCGACCTCTCCCGGAACGTCACCCTGCTCGCACCGCCCCGGCGCGAATAAAGATTTCTTGTTCAAGACGCCGGAAGTGACTACGGAGGCCGGGAGGCTCAGCGCGTAGTAGCCGCGCCGGGAGGCCGCGATGAGCGACATGGTGGAGAAGACGCTGACCGCACTGCCGGGGCTCTTCCTGCAGAACCAGCTGGGAGGGCCTGCGGCCTCCAGAGCACCCTTCTTCTCCAGGCTGGGCGGCCTCATCCGCGGCGTCACTGCGCTCTCGTCCAAGCACGTAGGTGGCTGGGTCGGCAGGGCGGGGTGGGCCGGGGTGCTTGTCAGCTAGCTGGACGCGGCCGGGCGTCCGCCCCGAGCTTGGGTTTGCTGCCTGCACGGACCGCAGGGAGGCCGGCTATCTGATCCGGAGGCCGGAAGACCCTCGGTGTCCCTTCTCAGCGTGAAACCGGTGTGTGGTCCACGGGAGTGCTTCGAGGACTACATGAGCCGGCAATCCAGCGAAAACAGCCAGTGCGGTTTGAGTCCTGGACTAGAGTCTCCCACGAAGTTTTTCGTCCCTGTTGAGTTTTAATTGAGTTCCTCTTTCTTGGAGGCATCACGTACCGCAACTGACAACCCTCACTCCCACCGCTGGCAGGGCTGTTATCTTTGCAGAACTTGAGGTTTTGCCCAAGCTGGACCAACAGCGTGGGCAAAGACGGGCTTGGAAAACGAGTAGTTTCAATACAAGTTATTAAGTTCCCACGGATTGCGTATGGTACTGATTCAAAGCCTCAAGGAGTGTATGTCTTAAAAACATAATATTGTGCCATAATTTCTTCAGCAGATATTTATCTAATACAACTATGCCTTAATTAATGAGGAAAATAGTAAAACACGTTTCTTTCTAGCAAGGATTTAGTCATTCATTTTGGGCTTAATGTAAGTGTAAGTAGAGAGGAGCAAGAGAAACAAGATGCCTTTTAAAGGTTTAAGATGTGCACGTGTTTTAATTGTAAGCTGGTGTGTAGCGAGGCTGAATTGGCCAGGGCTTACTGCACATCCCACAATCATTATTTGTGTACTTAACATATCTTCATGGTTTGTATGAGGCCAAATAAAAAAATATGCGTATGTGTATGTACTCTGTGTGTGTGTGTGTGTTTGTGTGCGCGCGCGAGCACGTGTGTGTGCATGTACTATGGTAGGGTTCAGAGGACAACTTTGGGTGTTGGTCCTCACCTTCCACCTTGTTTGACATAGGATCTCTTGTTTTCTTCTGTGCTATATACTCCAGGCAAGACAGCCAGGGGGCTTCTGGGGGTCCCTCTCTTTTTTTTCTTTTCTTTTCTTTTCTTTTTTTTTTTTTTTTGGTTTTTCGAGACAGGGTTTCTCTGTGTAGCTTTGCGCCTTTTCCTGGAACTCACTTGGTAGCCCAGGCTGGCCTCGAACTCACAGAGATCCGCCTTTAATCCCAGCACTGGGGGTCCCTCTCTACCTCCAGTCTCACCGTAGGAATTCGGGGATTACAGATACACCTCACCACATCTGGCTTTTTATATGATGGATTGTGATCCTTAGGCTTATGCAGCAAGTGCATTTACACACTGAGCCATCTGACCCTGCTCCTGCATGAAACTTTAAAGAACGTGGTTTTTGGCTGAAGTTGCAGTTTGAAACTTCACAGGCAGCTAGATGTGGTAGTGCTCCACTTCTAGGTTTGTTTGTTTGTTTTTAGATTTTTTTGTTTGTTTGTTTTGGACTCTGCGTGCGTGCGTGTGTATGGATATGTGCATGTGAGTGCAGATGCCCTCAGATTCCAGAAGAAAGTGTCTGATCCCCTAGAGCTGGAGTTTTAGGCAGATGTGAGCCAATAGAGTGGGTCTGGGAACCAAACTCTGGTCCTCTCCAAAAGCGATGTGTAGCCTTATCTGCTGCATTGTCTCTCCAGCCCTCACTGGTAGTTCCTAATTAGCTACTTACTTTTTTTTTTTCGAGACAGGGTTTCTCTGTGTAGTTTTGGTGCCTGTCCTGGATCTTGCTCTATAGATCAGGCTGGCCTGGAACTCACAGAGATCCGCCTGCCTCTGCCTCCTGAGTGCTGGGATTACAGTGGTGCGCCACCACCACCACCACCCAGCAGCTACTTACTTAATATCAATAACTTGGTGTGTGATTTATAGATAGCATTGTATAGCCGGGTGGTGGCGGCGCATGCATTTAATCCCGTTGGCCAGAGGCAGGTGGATCTCTTGAGTTCGAGGCCAGCCTGGTCTACAGAGTCAGTTTCAGGACAGGCTCCAAATCTACACAGAGAAACCCTGTCTCAAACAAACAAACAAACAAAGACAGCATTGGATTAGGCAGTAATTGGGCCTGTGTTTAAGCGCTTAGTGGGATTGTATATGTGTGACGTGACACTTGTGTCCAGGATTCAGTTCTTTTATTCCATCATGTGGGGTCCAGGGATCGAACTCAGGTCCTCAGGCTTGGCAGCAATCACCTTTACCCACTGAGCCCTCTCGCCACCAACATTTTGAATTAAAAAAATTTTTTTTCTGCCAATCTATATATACTATCAAATGAATGCAATGAAGATGAGTAATAGGTTAACCTGGAAATAATTCTTCTTTCCAAGGAGGGTTGTATGGGTCAGGGAATGTAGCTTTTTTAAGAATGATACTCCATTTCAATGGAAATGATTATAATTGTATTTTTCAGGAAGAAGAGAAATTAATCCAGCAGGAACTGAGTAGTCTGAAGGCGACTGTTTCTGCTCCTACTACAACACTGGTATGTTGGCACAGTTCAGCACACTCGCATTTGAAGCCTGGTTCCGTATCATATGAATTTCCAAATTCACTAAGCAGCTCTTTAATGAGTAGCTGGCTACTCTATATTGGCCACTGTGAGGCTGTTTGCACATCTGCAGATTAGGACCTGGTTTTGTTATCTTTTTTTCTTTTAATTGACATGTACTATTTATTTGTTTATTTTTGAGGCAGAGTCTTGCTGTGTAACCCTGGCTGGCCTAGAACTTACTATGTAGACCAGGGTGGCTTTGAACTCAAAAGGATCCACTTGCCTCTGCTTCTAGGTACTGGGATCAAAAGTGTGTATCAACACATTCAGCCCGTGGAGTCTTTTTTGTGTGTAAGTCATTGTGGAAATGTTTATCCCTCTAGGAAATATCAAGGTGATAATTTTGCACAAATACATGGTCATAAACATGAATATGCAAAGTCCAAGAGAACATAAATGTCTCTTTTTGTAGTTATAATATTCAGGGAAATAAAATTCAAGACACCATTACTCTGGTATCTTTGTACGTATATATGTGTGTGTTGTATATATAGATATGTACATCTGTGTGCATGCTTGGTGATACTTGATAGGAATGCTAAGCAGTAGTTTTCCTCTTTTTCCTTCACTAGGTTTTCATTTCTGTAATGGGTGTCATTGAATACAATTCTTGTACTATAAGGGCATAAGTCTGGTGTTGGGTAAAACTGGTCACTGGACACTCAGAGTTTAGCAGTAAGATTATAACTAACAATAGCCATCCAGGCAGGTCAGTTGTGCGTTTCTAAGGTCTTACAGAGCTGGGACAACTGGAAGGAGATTGTAAAACGAAGCCCAGCATTGGGAAATGTCCTTTCTTCTCTAGATAAAGGAACAATAACTAATATAACAATTTTGCTCTGAAGTCATAAGCTGGAGAGATGGCTCAGCAGTTAAGAGCACTGGCTGCTCTTCCAGAGGACCTGAGTTCAATTCCCAGCAACTTTCTAGTGTGCAGATGTGCATGCAGATAGAGCACTCATATACATAAAATATATAAATAAAAATTTAAAGAAACAAACAAGGACAACAAAACCTGAAGTCATGATACATATCCAGGATTGAAACTTAATGGCATAAATTAACCTTTTATTCCTAATTTATATAAAAGCCTTTGCAAAGGGACTCCCACTACAGTTTAATTAAAAACAATTAGACACACACACACTCTAACAAATGTTAAAACAAATTTAGTAGTCCTAATTAACATGTTAATGAATTAACTTTTACTGCTTTAAACACAAGTGATTTGAACTAAACTGTATTTCCCTAATATTTTCCTAAGATACACACACACACACACACACACACACACACACACACACACACACACACCCTACCTCTAAATACTGCTGTCTTGCTTTCAGTTTTGTTGTTGTTTTATTTTTGTGATAAGGTCTCATGTAGTCCAGGCTGACCTCTGACTCACTGTGTAGCTTCGGATCCTCCTGCTTTGACCTCCAAGGACTGCGCACGCACTGCCACACCCTGTTTTGTTTAGATAGTTTAATGTTTGTCAGCCTTTTTATCTAATTATCTGATAGCAGTTAACTTTAATACACACACACACACACACACACACACACACACACACACACACACACACGCTGAGTGCTGGAGTTAAACATATGCCCACCACAGGCAGCTATATTTTTAAGATTTAAAAATTTTTTTGAGACAGGATCTAATATATCCCAGGCTGGCCTGGAATTGACTACTGTGTAGTTGAGGATGACCTTGAATTTATCCCCCTGCCTCTATGTCCTGATGTTGGGATTACAGATAGGTGTCCCCCGAGTCCCCCCCCACCCCCCATGGGGAGGAAAGGGTTTATTTCACCTTATGCTTATAGTCCACCATCCAGGGAAGTCAGGGTAGGAACCTGAAGGCAGGAACTGATTCAGAAACCATGGAGGAGTGCCTACTGATTTGTTCCTCAGGCTTTGCTCAGCTACAGATAGTTTTTTATAGAACACTGAATTATATATATTTTTCCTCTTTTTTGATCCTGGGATTGAATCCAGAACCAGATGTGCACTATCATTGCCAAGTTTTAATTTTAGATGTTAAAATAATCTGAGATTTTCTCTGTTTTGAAACACATTGTATTTCTTATTACTAACAAAACTTTGCTATAAATATTGATAATGCAAATGACGTTCTGATAAAACATATTCATAGAATCTATTAAAGAATTTTTTTTTTTTCGAGATAGGGTTTCCCTGTGTAGCTTTTGAAGCCTATCCTGGAACTCGCTCTGTAGACCAGGCTGGCCTCAAACTCACAGAGATCCGCCCTCAAACTCACAGAGATCCGCCTGCCTCTGTCTCCCGAGTGCTGGGATTAAAGGCATGCACTGCCACCACCGCCCGGGCCTGTTAAAGAATTTGAGTTTTGGTTGGGCGGTGGTGATGTATGTCATTAATCCCAGCACTCAGGAGGCAGAGTCAGGCGGATCTTTGTGAGTTCGAAGCCGGCCTGGTCTACAGAGTGAGATCCAGGAAATGCGCAAAGCTACACAGAGAAACCCTGTCTCAAACAAAACAAAACAAAACCAAAAAAGAGAGAGAGAGACAGAGACAGAGACAGAATCAGGAAGCTCTCTTGAGTCCAGCCTAGTCTACAGAGTGAGATCCAGAACAGACAGGGATACACAGAGAAACCCTGTCTTGAAAACAAACAAACAAAAAAAGAATGTTTGTAATGGCCACATTGTTCATGAAATTATGCCTCTTAGTTCACAATAATGTGAGTTATTTGAAAAGAGAAAAAGAGTACTTATGCAGCAGATGATTATATATCTATAATATAATAATGCTGAAGAAAACCTATGTTCAGTTTGATTTTTTTTTTTTCGTTTATTGAGATGGGTTTTTTATTCCAGTCTCTAACTCCTGGGCTCACTCAGTCCTTTGTCAGCCTCCTACCTCAGTTCCTGACTACTAGGATGATAGGAATACAGCTGGCTTGCAGTTTGATATTTAAAATTGAATATTTTCATTACAGAATACATTACCAACTTGTATCAATTTTCTAGATGTTTTCGTTTGGCAAAACATATTCAAATTGACTCCCCCCCCCCCCCCCCCCCCCGGTTTTTTTGGTTTTGGTTTTTTGGTGTTTTGTTGTTGTTGTTGTTTTTTGAGACAGGGTTTCTCTGTGTAGCTTTGGAGCCTGTCCTGGAACTCACTCTGTAGCCCAGGTTGGCCTCGAACTCATAGGGATCCGCCTGCCTCTGCCACCTGAGTGCTGAGATTAAAGGTGTGCACCACCACGGCCTGGCTCCCCCTCTGTTTTTTTGAGACAAGGTTTCTCTGTGTAAGTACTCTGGCTGTCCTGGAACAAACTTTGTAGACCAGATTGACCTCAAACCCACAGAGATCTGCCTGCTTTGGTCTTCTGAGTGCTGAGAGTAAAGGCCTGTGCCACCACCGCCCAGGTCAGCCATTGATTTTAAATGCTAACTATGATCACCATGGATGAAATTTTGTCTGAGGATCACCTCTAATCAAACTTCTCTGAGCACATAGAATTAGAAGTAGCTTCAGGTAGTTTAGAGTGTCATTATCAATAAAATATTGAGCTAATTTTTTTTTTTTTTTTGGTTTTTCGAGACAGGGTTTCTCTGTGTAGTTTTGCGCCTTTCCTGGAACTCACTCTGTAGTCCAGGCTGGCCTCGAACTCACAGAGATCTGCCTGCCTCTGCCTCCCGAGTAAGCTAATTTTTTTTTTTACATTAATAGTGTTGGTGATTGTTAGAAGCAACTTTTATGTCTATATTCTGATATTAGACAATTGCTTTGTAATATGTATATTAGTTCTTCATCACCAGGATAAATGGCTCCATTGTTAAATGAGTGTGACATACAGAAAAATGAAAGCATTCATTTGTTCACATAGTGATTGGGTATTTCACTTTTCAGAAAATGATGAAGGAATGTATGGTGAGACTTATATATTGTGAAATGCTTGGATATGATGCTTCTTTTGGTTATATACATGCAATCAAGTTGGCCCAGCAAGGAAACCTCTTAGAAAAAAGAGTGGGTATGTATATGCTTAAGACTTCTGTTCTTACTGTTTTTTTTTTTTAAGGTATTAACCACTATAAAATGATGGCTTGTATATAGTATGTTTTTAGAGTATTGCGTTACATGTTTTTTTTTTTTTATAGTCCTATGATTTTTTTATAGTCCTGGGAGAGACTCTCACGTACTAAGGCAAGTTCTCTACCACTGAGCTATATCCCAGCCCAGATTTCCAAAGCTAACACTTTAGAACACAAAGCCTATACATAAAATTAGCTTTCTTGGATATGAATCATTTTGGAGTTTGGGAAGATGAAAAGGTGCTTTAATCCCAGCTCTTGGGAGGCAGGGGCAGGTGGATCTCTCTGAGTTTTGAAGCTAGCCTTACCAGAGTAGCAAGTCCCAGGCCAGCCAGAGCTATATCGAGAGACCTTCTCTCAAAAAACAAAGAAACAACAATAAAAAAAAAACAAAATCAAAAAGAGAAAGATAATACTGGATAGTTGGTGGTGTCTTAATTTGCTTTCTACTGCTGTGGTAAATCTGACTGTATTAGTTGGGGTTCTTTAGAGGAACCGAACTGATAGGATGAATATTTATATGTAGGACTTATTGGCGTGCCTCTCAGGCTGTGGTCCACCCAGTCCAATTGTGGCAGACTCCTGACAGAAAGGCCAGAATCTGCCAGTTGTTCAGCCCCAAGGCTGATGTCTTAGCCAGTCTTCAGTCTTTGTTGGAATCCCAAAGAAGCAGGTTCTAATACCATCAAGGTAATGCCTTAGTGACAGGAGTGATGAGCTTGCTAGTGAGGGTGAGGGCAAGCAGGCAAGAAGCCAAAATGTCCTTCTTTGGTTTCCTTTTATGGAGGCCTACCAGGAGATATGGCCCAGATTTAGGGTGGGTCTTCTCACCTCAAATGCTCCAATCAAGAAAATCTTTCCCAGGTGTGCCCGGCTACTTGGGTTTTAGTTGATTACAGATATTGTCAGGCTGACAACAAAGATTAGCCATCACACTAACCAAAAGCAACTTGGGGAGGAAAGGGTTTGTTTTCGTCGTCGTCTGTCACTGAGGGAAGTCAGAGCAGGAACTCAAGGCAGCAGCTAAAGCAGAGAACATGCAGGAGTGTGCCCACTGCTTGCTCCGCCATCACTTGCTTACCCTGCTTTCTCATAGCACAGAACCACCTGCCCAGAGGTGGCACCGCTTTTGTCAATTGACAGAAAGACTAACCAGCATAGGTGGTGTGATTACTTTGAATAGCTGTTGCTACATTTTGATTTTTAGACTTCACATACATTTTTTTCATTTCCAACTTTATTTTTGCATCATGTACTGATCTCTGCTTCTTGCCTAACAATACAATGTGATCAGCTGCCTCCAGTTCCCTCCATGTCTTCTCTACCATAATGACCTGCCCTCAGATTATGAGCCCAAACCAACCCTCCCTCCCCCTCCCTTCCTTCCTTCGTTTGTTTTGAGACACAGTCTCACTATGTAGACCTGGCTGACCTGGAACTTGCTGTAGAGGCCAGGCTGCCCTTGAACTCATAGCTATCCACCTGCCTCTGCCTACTGAGTATTGGGATTAAAAGCATGTACCACCACACCTGGCTTTAAGTTGCTTTATTAGATATTTTGTTCCAAGCTTTAAGTAGGGTCCCCCCCCCGCCCCCCAGAGCTGAGGACCGAACCCAGGGCCTTGTGCTTGCTAGGCAAGCGCTCTACCACTGAGCTAAATCCCCAACCCCTTAAGTAGCTTTTAAAAAACCAGTTTATTTATTTTATGTGTATGTTTTGTTTGCATGTATGTGTGTGCACTGTGTGCATGCCTAGTGTTGGTGGAGGTCAGATTGCTGTCACTTCTTATTAGCCCCAATGCTGGGATTGCAGGCTTATACCAATATGCTCAGTTTTATGTAGTGCTGGGAATTAAATACAGGGCTTTGTGTATGCTAGGCACACCCTCTACCAACTCAGCTGCATCCCTAGCCCAGTACCTCATTCCTAGTCATATCAGATATACTCTGTAGTCATACTTAATTGTTCTTTGTTACATCTATTTGTTAAATTACAGAGCATCTTTTTCTTTATTCTTTGTCAAAACAGGATGCTTGGTAATAGAATTAAAGTTTCTTTAATATGACCTTTGAACTACTTTATTGACGTTAGTGTTGGTGACTTGGGTGTGGGTGATACCTTAGCTGAACAGGTAAGTTCTGAGCAGGAAGACTTAGCTTCTGTTGTAAGAGCTCCCTGGCCTAGTCAGCGTTTTCCTCCCTTGTAGGAGTAACAGCTTTCCCCTCCATCATTGAAAAAATTGAAGTCAGTTATGCTGCTCCTTTGTGGTTGTGAAACTAGAAGCTGCTAACGGTTTCCCATGTTGGACAGTGGACCAGATGCACAGTTCCTGGGTAGTGTTAGGGATCGCCACCATTAGTATCTATTGAAAGGGCTGAAAGAGCTGAGAAGAGAGGAGAGTGAGGATGAGAGCTAGGGAATCAGGCCATGGGGACGGACTTGAGTCCTGCGTCCACCATGTAGTAGCTAGAGACTTTGACCTCATCACCTCACTGGCATAGTAATCACACTTACATCATAGGGTTGTTTGCAGAATTAAATGAGGCAAGGCTTGTAGAGTTATTGACACATAGTAACCAATAAATACCATTGCCAACGTGAAAAGTGGCCAGAAATGCCATAAAGCATGTGGATTCCATGTTCATTGTATTTGTCATGATGCCTTATATTCATTCCTCCGTCTTAAAACATAATGTTTAAATAGAAATGCTTGTTTAAGACAGTGAGTACATTTAATGTGGTAGACAGTGTGTCTTTCCTCAACAGCTGGTACTTGCTCAACACTGTCTTCAAGTTGAGAAAATAAGATATGAGTAACATTGTATCAGATAGGCAGGCTTTAGATAGTTCTTATGATAATGAAAATAAATCGTCAGTGACTGATGCTAACTTAATGACTTAAGTTTTTGAATAATTCTGTGTTGAGCCCAAGATAGAGAATATTTTGATTGGTAATACAGAGATTTTCACTAGAACTCTGTGTCATTCATAGGGCTTGTAAGAACCTGTAGCTCTGAGTGTGCAGGATGAAGGACACCTGGAATCTTCTTAGAGATGTGTGTTAATCTTGTATTTCACACTTTGTTTTTTTGTTTTGTTTTGTTTTTTTTGTTTTTCGAGACAGGGTTTCTCTGTGTAGCTTTGCGCCTTTCCTGGGACTCGCTTGGTAGCCCAGGCTGGCCTCGAACTCACAGAGATCCGCCTGGCTCTGCCTCCCGAGTGCTGGGATTAAAGGCGTGCGCCACCACCGCCCGGCCAAACTTTGTTTTTATAGTGCCTGTAACTGATATGTTTCACACTTAAAACTTGGGGTAGATTATTGCTTTAACTTACTAGGAAGGGAATTTTTTGGGGTTATGTAATAATGAAAACTTTTCCTTCATTTTTTAATAGGTTATTTGGCTGTTTCTTTATTTCTACATGAAAGTCATGAACTTTTGCTTCTCCTTGTGAATACAGTGGTAAAGGTACCGTATCTACTGTATGCTGGTTAACATGAAGTCTACTTCTGTCTTCATATGACATTTCTCTTTAGTCAGAGTTACTTAAGTAATTTTGAAAGTGTAGGTTTCCTTATGGAATCGGCTTAGAAATATAGTTTATTTTTTGAGACTTATTTTTTTTAAATTATATGTATGTGTAATGGGTAGAGGTCAGAAGAGAGCCTCAGATCCTTTGGAGCAGCATTACAGGTAGCTGTGAGCTAGCTGCCTGGCATAGGCCCTGGGACTTAAACTCCAGTCCTCTGCAGGACTGACCATTGAACTACCTCTTTAGCGTCTAGAAGGGTTTTCTCTTGTCTGTTTTTGTTTCTTACACTCTGGCTGGTTTGGAGCTCACTCTGTAGACCAGGCTGGTGCCAGACTCACAGAGATCTGCCTGCCTCTGCCTACTGAGGGCTGGGATTGAAGGTGTGCACCACCACTGCCTGGCTATTTTTTGTCTTTTTTTTTTTTTTTTTTTTCCAGAGCTGAGGACCGAACCCAGGGCCTTGTGCTTGCTAGGCAAGCGCTCTACCACTGAGCTAAATCCCCAACCCCTTTTTTTTGAGAGTAGGCCTCTGGTATACAAGGTTGGCCTTGAACTTCTGATCCTCCTGGATCCTGAGTGATAAGATTGCAGTGTGCACCATTACAACTGGTTTATGACATTATGGATTGTGAACCTAGGGCTTTGTACATGCTAGACAAGCACTCTGCCAACAGAACTGCATCTCCAGCTGTTTTATTTTTCTTAATGTGTGAGTGAGAGTGAGAGAGAGAGAGAGAGAGAGAGAGAGAGAGAGAGAGAGAGAGAGAGAGAATAATAATATATGGACCTTTCTGTTATTCTCCCCACTCCACCCTTCTTTCTGAAACAGGATCTCATGTATCTCAGACTGGCCTCAAACTCACTCTGTAGCTGAAGATGGCATTGAACTCCTGATCCTCCTGCCTGTACCTCCACAGTGGAGTGGGAATATAGGCATATGCTGCCTAGCTTATGACATTCTCATATAATATATACTGTATGTTGAGCATGAAAGGGTTTAATCAGTCTGAGAGTTTTCTGGTGGGGTCTTTAGGTTTTATTATGGATAGAATCCTATCTGTAAATAAGGGTACTTTGAGTTTCTTCCTTTTGTGTTTCTGTCTTGTCTTTTCTTGCTTATTGTTTTGAGGTCTTCCACATTTAGTATAATGCTGGCTTTAAGTTTGCCATATATAGTCTTTATTATGTTCCTTCTATTCCTAGTCTCTTTGAGACTTTTATCACGAAGAGATGTTGGATTTTGTCAGAATCCTTCTTTGTATTTAGATGATCCTGTGATTTCTGTCTTGTGTCCACTTATGTGATGTATTCAGTATTAATGTGCAGATGTTGAGCCATCCTGCACCTCAGGAATGTAACTGACTTGATTATAGTGCAGGATATTTTGATTTGTTCTTAGATTTGGTGTGTTAGGTTTGGTGTGTTTGTTTTAGACAGCGTCTCCCTATGTTTCAAACCCTGGCTGGCCTGGTCACAAAGTTCTGCCTGCTTCTCCCTCTTGCATGCTGGGATTAAAATGTGTTCTACCATGCCTGACAGTTTGCAAATGTTTTATTAAGAACTTTGACATCTGTTTTCATCAGAGGAATTAGTCCTTGATTTCTTTTCGTGTCCTGATTAGGTTTCATAAGGAGAGTTTGGTAGCATCTCTTCCTTTTTCTCTTCTGGAATAATTTGAGAAAGTTTAGTCCTACATAGTTGTTAAAGGTCTGGTAGAGTTAATCTGCTTTGTGACTCCTGAACTCACAGAGATCTACCTGCCTCTGCCTCCCGAGTGCTGGGATTAATTAGGAGATTTTATTACTGCTTCAGTCCTGTTGCTTGTTGTAGATATATTTAAATTATCTCTTCTTGGTTTGATTTTGATAGGTATGGATCTAGAAATTTATTTATTTTAATTAATTAATTTATTTTTATTTTATGTACATTGGTGTTTTGCTATGTGTCGGGCCCCCTGGAATTGGAATTACAGACAGTTGTGAACTTCCATGTGGGTGCTGGGAATTGAACCCAGGTCCTCTGGAGGAATAGCCAGTGCTCTTAACCACTAAACCATCTCTCCAGCCCCATAGAAATTTATTTATTTTAAATTTCCCAATTTAGTGTAATATGAATTTTTAAAACATGTTCTAATGATTTTCCAAATTTCATTGGTATCTGTTGAAATGTCTCCCTTTTATCTCTGATTTTATTAATTTGAGTCCACATTCTCTTTGTCTGTTTTGCCTAAGTGTTAAGCTCATGTATCCGTTCAAAGAACCAGATGTTCCATTGATTGCTTTTCTTCATTTCTGTTTCATTCATTTCTGTTCTGATCTCCTGTCTTCCCACCTACTGCTTTTAGATTTGTTCTTGTTTAGCCAAGACTCTTAAGGTACATCTTTACATTGTCTGTTTGCATTTTCTCTGATTTTTTAAAAGTTTAAATTCAACTTATTATTATTATTATTGCTGGGTCTGGGTCTGTGTGTTTGTGTATGGGCACAGGCGTGTGCCTGCCAGAGTGCATGTACCATGTAAATGTCAGAGGACAATTTTGGGGAGCTGGTTCCTTCCACTGTGGGTTCCAGGGATTGCACTAAGGTAGTCAGACTTGTGAAGCATAGACTTTACATGCTGAGCAAGTGTGTTCCCCTCTTCAACTCTTCTGATAGTTTTAGCTTAATGTCTATTTTGTCAGTTAGTAGAACACAACCACCCGCTTCTTTCCTAATTCCATTTCCTTGGATACTCTTTTCTTTCTTTTTTTTTGTTTTTGTTTTTCAAGACAAGGTTTCTCTGTGTAGCTTTGCGCCTTTCCTGGAACTCACTTTGGAGACCAGGCTGGCCTCGAACTCACAGAGATCCGCCTGCCTCTGCCTCCCGAGTGCTGGGATTAAAGGTGTGCACCACCACCGCCCAATAGATACTCTTTTCTGTCCTTTACAGAAGGCTGTCTGTCTTTGAGTGTGAAGTGCATGCTGTAGAGGCAACAAATAGAAGCACGCTGTTGTGTTTGTTTTAGATACAGTAAGGCATTCCGTGTCTTTTGATTGGTGAAATGAGGCAGTTAGTATGCATAGTTATTATTGTAAGGTGTATATTAATACCTGCCATTTTGTTGATTTTGTAGTGTTGGCTGTTTTCTTGATCCTCCTTTACTTAATTAATGTTTTTGTGTGGTTTATTTTTCCTGGGCTTCATGAGTATGCTCATCTTTCTTTTCAGTCTGAAGGATTTCTTCAAGTGTCTTCTGTAGAATTGACTTAATTTTTTTTATTTCTTCAGCCTTTTCTAGAAGTTTTTTATTGGTGTGTGTTATTTGTAGATAATAGTGGGCTTCATTATAGCATCTTTATACCTATAGACGATGCAGCTTGGTCATGCTCACTCTGTGGTCCTCTCTTTCTCCTCTGACTCCTGCTCGTCCTCTTGGTCTCCCAGCTACCCCCGCCCCCCCCCTTGCTATGTTCATGTCTTTTTCTTGTGTGACCTGATGAGTTTCGCTACTGTTATTTACAGGAGAGTAGGTAAAGTCTTACTAACAGGAGCGTGGGCACCTTACTGGTGGCTGGCTACCCTGTCTCCATCAGACAAGTGCATATACATCCTCAGGGAGGGCTGCAGCCCAGGCGCTCTTTCTCTTCCAGCACTGGGTGTTTGTTGATGGCCCGTTCTTGTGCAGATTCTGTGCAGGTAATTATAGCAGCTATGAGCTCAAGGGTAAATATCCGTGTCATGGCTGGAAGTTCACATTCCATCCTCTTCCCAACGTCTCCCTGGCTCTTACATTCTTTCTGCTCCCTCCTCATGATGTTCCCAGAGCCTTGGAGGGGTGATGAGATGTTCCATTTATGACTGAACAGCCAACGATCGTTCATTCTCATAATGTTTACCAGTTATGAGTCTCTGTAGTCACCATTAGCCTGCTTTTGTTGTGGGAAAGCTTTTTTTTCCTCCTTCAGTTTACAGACAGTCTTGCTGCATGTGGTCACCTGGCACTTGTTTTTCAGAGCTTGAAATACAACTCCAAGTCCTGCTGACTTTAAAAACTTTACAAGTTTTGCTAAAAATCTGTTGTTTTGATGAGCGTGCCCTTACCTGACTTGCGTTTGTCTCAGTTCCTTTTCTCTTACGGTGATAAAACACCATGACCAAGACAACTTATAAAGAAAGTACTTAGCTAACTGGGCTTCTAGTTTCAGAGTTAGAGTCCATGATGCAGAGCACAGGTGTGCTGGCAGGAACAGCTGAGAGCTCATCTCCTGATCCACAACCCTGAGGAAGAGCGTGCACTGGGAACATCAAAGCCCAGCCCCAGTGACGCACCTATTCCAGAAAGGCCTAATCCTTTCCCAACAGTTTGACCAACTGGGGACAAAACTTTCAAATATATGGGCTTATGGGGGTCATTATCATCCTGACACCACAGTGTTTCTTGTAGCATTTAGTATATCTTCTGCATATTTGGTGTTTGAGGTGTAAGATGAAATCAGAAGGTTGTTTTCTGGCCTCCTCTGTTTGGTACCCTAAATGCCTCCTATACCTGGATGGGTAATCTTTTTCCTTAGGTTTGGAAATTTTCTCCTGTAATTATATTGAATATGTTTTTATGCTTTTCTTTTAATGCCTATAATTTCTAGATTTTTGTTTTTTCATTGTGTCCAACATATACTGAATGTTCTGCTTATACTTATCATTTTGTATTTGTTGTAATCTGAATGTTCCATTCCTGTACCCTGTCATTCTTCAGGCCCTGCTACTCTGCCCTCCCCTTTATCCATTCTGTCAGTGAGACTTTCCATGGAACTTCTTATTTAAAGACTTAATTGCATTTTACATTTGCAATATTTCAATTTAGTGTTTTTCAGAATTCCACTTTTATTCCCTGTGTTGATGTCTTTATTTCATTCAGCATTTTGTATTCTCTTGAAATTCATTCATAGTTTACATTTGTCCTCTTCTAGGTTTTAAGAATATAATCATTCTTTTGAATTCTTTGCTTGGGATTTCATCTAATCTACTCTGTTTTGAGGCCACTAATGTGGGCTTAGCAATTTTTGGAGGGGTTCTGTTGCTTTGGTTCTTTGTGGTCCTGGAGTTTTGCAGTATCGGATTGGTGGCTGGATTTCTGGTTTTTTTTTTTATTCAATTCTTTTTATTATTTTTTTTCTATTATCAGCTTGATACAGTATAAATTCTTATCCTAATAGTGAAGTGTTTCACTGAGGCTTGCCCAATAATTGAGTAAAACCAAAACTTATAAGCCATAGTCATCCTAGGGTCTCCCCTGCTATATAGCCTCCCTGGTTCTGTGGGTTGCAGTCTGATTGTTCTTTGCTTTATATCTAGTATCCACTCACGAGTGAGCACATACCATGTTTGTCCTTCTGGGTGGATTTCTGTCTTTAAATCTACTACTGTCGCTTGCAGTCTTCAAGAGAGACGAGGCCGCATGGTAGGGATGAAGTACCTTTTCCTCTGCACTAGAGTCAATTCTCAGTCCTCACCTGGAGAATTCCATCTGCAGGAAACAGTGGCTGTCAGTGGGTAGACCACTGTGAGTACGCAGTAATTGAACCCGGAGAGTGCTGTGTGTACTACCATAGCAGTTACTGTGACCATGAATGAAAAACATTCAGGTTACTGATTAGTATTGGGGTGACAGGAAAAATAAAGGAGGGAAAAGTAAAGGGAAGTGGGAAGCAGCAGGAACAAGGGCAGAGCTGGGGAGGAGACAATTTTGACTAAATGTTGAATGAAAAGAGAAAGGTTTAAAAAAGGCAATCAGGGCCGGGCGGTGGTGGCGCACGCCTTTAATCCTAGCGCTTGGGAGGCAGAGCCAGGCAGATCTCTGTGAGTTCAAGGCTAGCCTGGTCTCCAAAGCGAGTTCCAGGAAAGGTGCAAAGCTACACAGAGAAACCCTGTCTCGAAAAACCAAAAAAATAAAAAATAAATAAAATAAAAATAAAAAAGGCAATCAGATAATATAAAACACTGTTAGGAGTCTGCAACAGAGATGGCACAAACTACATCAGCCCATGTTCTTTTTTTTTTTTTTTTTTGGTTTTTCGAGACAGGGTTTCTCTGTGTAGCTTTGCGCCTGTCCTGGAACTCGCTTTGGAGACCAGGCTGGCCTCGAACTCACAGAGATCCGCCTGGCTCTGCCTCCCGAGTGCTGGGATTAAAGGCGTGCGCCACCACCGCCCGGCTCAGCCCATGTTCTTTAAGAAAGCCTGTGAAAAGGAAGTGCAAAGGGAAAGACTAGAGAAAGATAGACTTGGCCTGCCTAAATTGACATTGGGTATTAAATAAAGGTGGAATAAGGGGGCTGGAGTGATGGCTCAGTGGTTCAGCAGGGTTACCCTGCTCTTCCAGAGGACCCAGGTTCAATTCCCAGCACCCACACGGCAGCTCACAACTGTCAGTAAGTCCACTTCCAAGGGACCCGACACTCATGTCAAAACACCAATGCACATAAAATAAATAAAAAAGAGAGAGAGAACCACAAGGAGTAGAAGAATATCAATGGCTAAGAGAAAGCAGTCAGGTCCCTGTGGTAATCTCTGGAAAAAAAAAAAAAAAGGTGGAATAAATGTAAGTGGAGAGAGCTGGTTGGGATGTCTGAGTGCAATCCTGCCTGCTGGCTGGTCCCAGTTTCTTCCCATGTTTCTCCTTGGGCTCCCAGATGCCAGTCACACCTGTGGGCAGTACTTCAAGAGTCCATCTGGGGCCCACCATGAGATGGCTAAGTGGGTAAAGGGCTTAGCTTGCAAGCCTGATGATTGAGTTCTATTCCTGGAGCAGCTCACAGAGGGCTGGAGAGAACTGATTCCACACTGTTGTCCTCTGGCCTCTGCACACATGCATGCACACACTTTTCCTCTCCTCACACATCATACACACGATTTTTAAAAAGGAGTCAAGAAAAAGACCTAGGCTTGATAGTTCACCATACTTCTGGGTGTCTCTTCCAGTGTCTAGCTCAACATTGAAACCCGTGTCTAGGTTCCCCGCAGACTCTAGTTCTGATCAAGTTTCCAGTTGGCTGAGCACTGTACAAATACAATTCAGTTTCTTCTCTGCGGTGCAGAACTGTTCTGCTGGCCAGATTCAGCAGCTAGTTCTGTAATACTTGCTCGAAATTTGTTGATAGTGTGGCTTTCCCAGAACCTCTCCTACCTCCACATCTTTTGTCTTCTGTCCCCCGACACACACACTTTTACCATGTATGTTTCTGAGAGTGTAGTGCAGATTTTCCGAGGCTCTCTGTCCTAACTTCTGGTCTGGCCGTTCTCTTTCATTGGGCGGGGAGAGCTCCCCAGGCCCGCCATGACAGAGTCTGGACTTTTTCCTTGTTCTGTTTTGTAAAGTTTCTTCTATTTTGCTGTTAAACCAGAATTTGGGGCCAGTTCTGAGTGCTTTCCCTGGTTGATTCTTTGGAGAATCTAGCAGAACTTGTCTGTCGTCCACCATTTTCTAAAAGCCTCAAGCCTTCCTGTTTGTCACCTATCAGACTTTTCATATGTGAGAATGTGTGTGCTCTTTTCTTAATTTAAAGCCATACTATACACACACCGTGTGTGTGTGTAAGAGATTACATGAACATGTATGCATATATATATATATACACACACACATAAGGTGTGTGTGTGTGTGAGAGAGAGAGAGAGAGAGAGGAAGAGAGAGAGAGAGAGAGAGGTTGTACATGAATGTGTGTGCATGTGGAGACCATAGGTTGATATCAGGTTTTATTCTCAATTGCTCTCCAGTTTACTAAGATATAAATTGGTTTATTTGGTTATTTATTTATTTATTGTGTGTGTATCTTGGGGATTGAACTCAGGTCATCAGGACACATACACATACACCAGTAACTCAGTTTTTTTAAGTTTAAAAGGGGAGCTGAGGAGATGGTGTGTCCAGTGCAAGCATGAGGACCCAGGTCTGACCCCAGCACCTGTAGAAAAGCTGAGCAAGATGACGCCGTCTACACTTTGTATCACTTTTCTTATAACTTTCTTTAATTATGTTTATTTATTGTGCGTATCTCCCGGGGATTGAACTCAGGTCCTCAGGCTTGGTGGCAAATATTTTTACCCACTGAGCCATCTTGCTTGTCCCCACCTTTCTCACTGACTAACTGGCTAACCATGAACTCCAGGGATTCTCCTGTCTCCTCCTGCCCAGTGTGGGATAACAGACAGATGTGTCATCATCATCACGCCTGGTCTTTACATGGGGGCTGGGATCACACTCAGGTCCTCATCCTTGTGCACCATCTCCCCAGCTCCTTTCACACTTGGAAAAGTTATCTGTTAGTGTGTACATGGACATGTGTGTGCAGATACTCACATGCTGTGGCACGCATGTGGAGGTTGAAGGACAACCTTTGGGAACTGGTTCTCTCCTACACTGCTGAGGCAGGGTCTCTTGTTTCTGTCATGCTGCAAACTCCAGGCTAGCTGGCCCGTGAGCTTCTGGGCATTTTCCCCATTTCAGCATCCCATCTTACCGCAGCACTGGTGTTAGAGATGCTTACCACATGTCTAGCTTTTTTTGTGGGGTCTGGAGATCAAATTTAGATCATCATTGCTTAGTAAACAATTTCTTTTACCTGCTGAGCTACCTTACCAGCCTTCTTTCAAACTTTTAAAAATATATTTAAAAGTTGTATTGGATCACTTTATAGACTATATGCATGTATAAGTATATATGAGCATATATATACTTTTTGTTGTATAAATTGTAAAGCTCCACTTATATTAACTAGAAAAGTTTGTAAAGTTGTTTTATTAGTTTGGAAAAGTTTGAGGGCTGTAACAAAGGAGACTGTTTGGCCTTGTAGCCAGTCAGCTGCCTTTGACTATTACAGCAAATGAAACCAGTGCGGGGAGTGGTATTTTGTAGGTGCTGAGGCAGATGTGAATGTCTAAGTTGATTATAAAGTTGGGGGAAATTACTATGTAAGCAAGGTTGCTATGGTGTTAAGCTTGTGCAGACTGACTTCTTTCTTCCTGACGACAGGACCTGCAGAGCACTAATCTGGTAGAAGTGTGTATGGCACTTACTGTTGTCAGCCAGATTTTCCCTCGAGAAATGATTCCAGCTGTTCTTCCATTAATAGAAGATAAACTTCAACATTCTAAGTAAGTCAATTATTTTGACACAGTTGTCTATACTATATATTTCAAAACAAATATTTAAGTGTATATTTTATTTATTCTTTCACAATTCCATACGTCTGTACAATGTATCTTGATCATATCTACCTCTAACTTCCTAGACCCTTCCCAACACATCCTCTTCACCTTCATGTCTTTTTCCCCCTTCTTCTAATAATACTAATAACAACAACAACCTCCTGAGTCCAGTTAGTGCCACCCAGATATGTATGGGTGTTGACCCAGAACATGAGCAACCTAATAGTGGCCATGTCCCAAAGACACGTGACTGCCACTCCCCAACAGCCGTCAACTGCCAGTAGTTTCCCAGCTAAAGCTGGGGCCTTTTCAGCCTCTCTACTATTCATGCTGCAGTGTTAACTGGCTTCATTTTGTGCAGGTTTATATAGGTTGCCAGAGCTACAGTGAGTTCATGGGGCAATGACCATGTCATGTCCAGAAGACGGTCTTTCTCGGTATTCCTCCGCATCCTCAGCTCTTACATTCTTTCCTCCCCCTTTTCCAAGACATCCCCTGAGCCTTGGGGAGATGGTGTTGGTGATGTAGATGTCTTGTTTAAGGCTGAGCACTCAGCAGTTACTTTTCTCAGCGCTTTGACCAGTTAGAAGTCTCTGCATTAACCACTGCCCTGCTGCAAAAAAGTTTTTCTAACTAAGGTTGAGAGAAGCACTAATTTCTGGGTATAAACATAATATTTAGAAGACAGCTTGATAATGTGTCCATTTAGCAAAATAATAGTAGTAGGTTCCCTCATGAGGCCTGTGACCCCCAAACATAGACTTTTGACCAGGTTTACAGTACCAGGCATCAATTCCCTCCTGTGGAACAGGCCTCCTATCCAGTTAGAGAGTGGCTGGTCACCCCGGATTAGTCATGCCGCTATTTCACTGGTACATTTGTGGGGTCAGGATTGGTGCATATAGGGTCTACCTCTGTGGAAAACCATTGGTGACTTTTCTCCCCCAGTGGCCTGCGTGACGCTTCCCAGCACTATTGTATTAGTCAGAGTTCTCTAGAGGAACAGAACCAATGGTGCGTGTATATACACACACACATACACTCACACACTCTATGCATATACATGCATATATTTTAAAGACTTCTTTTTATTACTTTAATTATGTATACGTATGTATGTGGGTGGGTGGGTGCACGGGAGTCCCAGAAGAAGAGGAGTAACATTGTTTTACCCATGTGCCCCCATGCTTCCCTGTCACTGCAACATTTGGAGTGTGCTTGCCTTTTATAGGAAACAAATTTTTATCCTTATTTAATGAAGAGACAAAAACAGAATCAAGCCGGGCGGTGGTGGCGCACGCCTTTAATCCCAGCACTCGGGAGGCAGAGGCAGGCGGATCTCTGTGAGTTCGAGGCCAGCCTGGGCTACCAAGTGAGTCCCAGGAAAGGCGCAAAGCTACACAGAGAAACCCTGTCTCGAAAAACCAAAAAAAAAAAAAAAAAAAAAAAAAACCAGAATCAAGAGATTACAGAATTTATTTCTCTTGTTTTAATTGATTACAAAAGTAACCTATGCTGTTACTGAAAGTTCTGTAATTAGAGGTATTTATAACTGATAGGCTGTTAAAGTTTCTTTTGGGCATAGTGGTTCATACCTGTATTTGTCACATTTTGGAGGCGGAGGCAGGAAGATCATGCATTGGAGACCAGCCTGGGCTATGTAGTAGTGAGACTCCATCTCAGAAACAATAACTTCAAAGAGACTGAGGAGAAGGCTCAGTTGCCAGTGTGCTTGGGGTGTTACCGTGAAGCCCTGAGTTTGGATCCTAGCACCTCCGTAAAAGCCAGGCCTGTCAGCATGCACCTGCAATACTAGTGCTGGAGAGCAGAGACAGGGAGGTCCCCAGGGCTTGTGGCCAGCCAGTCTGGTGAAATGGAGTCAGCAAGCTCCAGGTTAAGTAAGTATGTGACCCTGTCTCAAAAAAGAAGGTAGAGAGTGATAGAGGAAGATAACCGATATCAGCCTGGCCTCTACACACACACACACACACACACACACACACACACACACACCTCTCTACAGTCTTCCCTCCCCCCCCAGAAGGGGTCTCTTGAAATCTTACTTCTTACCAAGAAGTAAGATTTTTATCTTTTTCATACTTTGCTGCATTAGAATAAAATAATTAGTAGTAGATACTTGATGGCCCAGGTTGCCTTGTTTATATTTCATCTTTTATCCTTAGGGAGATTATACGAAGAAAAGCAGTTCTGGCATTATACAAATTTTACCTCATTGCCCCTAATCAAGTACAGCATATCCATACTAAATTTCGGAAAGCACTTTGTGACAGAGATGTTGGGGTCATGGCTGCCTCTTTGCATATATACCTTAGGATGATTAAGGTAAGTTGGCAATTTTAGCATGTGCTCAGTCATTACCATTGTAACAATATCACTATGGAATTAGAAGAAAATGCAGATATTTCAATAAAATGATGAATACTTTATACCACTGTCAGGCTGGAGAGATGGCCCAGTGGGTAAGAGTGCTTGTGCATAAGCAGGAAGGTCTGAGACCAGATCCTAGCTGAGTGTGGCCATCCATGTGTGCCTACAGCCCTGTGCTGTCCTTCATGATGTCTACAGCCCTGTGCTGAGGGAGGCAGAGACAAAAGGGTTCTGAGGCTTCCTGGCTGACAGTCTTGCTCTAGGTGCAGCAAGAGACCCTGCCTCAAGAGAATAATTCAAAGAGTGATAGAGCAGGATACCCAGAATCCACCTCTGGACTCTGCATGTGCATATACACACACTCATGAACACATGTGTGCATATACCACACATATCTACTATACTCACACACACGTAAATTTATCTTACGCTGTTATATACTTCTAAATGTAACTTTTGTAAGTTGTTGATAATATGAATTGTATGCAAGAAAGATCAGGAGTTCAGATCTACAACTGGTCAAAATTTAGAGGACAGGTGACTGTGGGGTGCCCAACACAACAGATACATCTACAGCACAACTACCACACCTCAGGCTCATCCTGAAGAAGGTTGGAGATTGTAAGAGCCAGAGAACCAGGACATCTGCCGTAATGTGACAGGGAGCTGCACCCATGAAATCTCAACAATATGGTCACCTAAATAAAACCTGAACAGTGACACCAGGTGACATCCCATTATGGATGGAAGAAATCTCACAAGGTCACACCCTAGATGAAGAGCTACAGGCAATTAATGACTACTTGGGGAGAATTGGTCTTCTCCGGGAACGAGCCCCCTGATAAGCTATCCAGTACTAGGTGGTCATCTTAAACACATGTGCATATGAGCAACACTAAATGGACTCAGCAAGTTGTGTGTGTGTGTGTGTGTGTGTGTGTGTGACTACAGTAATCAGAGAGATCATGAATTTGAGAGGGAGTGGGAGAGGGACATGGGAGGAGTTGGTAGGGTAAGAGGGAGGAGTAGAAATGATATAAATACAGTATTTATGTATGAAATTATAAAATATATACACATATATGTGTATGGATATAAAAGAATAACCTTGCTTATATATCACATTTGAGGTCAGCCCTGGGTTATATGAGACTGTCTCAAAAAAAAAAATAGGGAAGATATTATTATTAACAGATTTTTTTTTTAATGTAGGAAAATTCATCTGGATATAAAGATCTGACTGAGAGTTTTGTAACAATTTTAAAGCAAGTGGTGGGAGGAAAGCTCCCAGTTGAGTTCAGTTACCACAGCGTGCCAGCGCCATGGTTACAGATTCAGCTCTTGAGAATACTGGGGCTGCTGGGAAAGGACGATCAAAGGTAAACTCTCCCAAGTCACGTGATGACCACACCATATCATAGCCTCGGCTTAGTCACCGAGAAGGTTCACAAAAACCAAATTTTCTAGCCCTTACTGCCTTACTGGTGGTAAATAAACCAGCGTGAGAACACAGAGTCAGTCCTTCAGGTGACTGGGCCATTCCTAGCTTCTTCATTTTCCCCTTGTGAAACATACTTGCTTAATCTCTGGCTGGAGGGTGAACCAGATGGTCAGTATTTCACCTGTGAGGGTCATAGGCTGCCTGCCACAGCTGCTGCACTCTGCTGTTACCGATGGAAAACAGCCATAGCGAGCGTATAGTTTAATGAAGGTTACAGTGTTCCAGGAAAATGTTTCGGAAACATTGAAGCCTGAATTTCAGATGATCTGTATATTTCATTATGTATTATCCTTTTGGTTTTTTTTTTCCCAACATATAAAAACTATTCATCATTTGCAGCCATAAAGAAGAATGAGTATGACCCAAAATATATTATGTTTATCATGAAAATGTCATAATAAAGCCTATTTTTATTAATAGATGCTAATAAAAACATAAAAGTCATAAAAAGGAACACAAAATATAATATTTATTATCTGTTTCAGCAAATAATAAATCAAAGATAGAAATTGTCTCTTGGAAGCATCTATGCTGAAATTTAACTAAATTCACACAGCCTTTTTTAGAGCTAGTTACCATTTTACAGGAAACACAAAGAGGAATGTACTAATGGTGTTAACTACAAGCAAGATACAGGTTGTGGAGAAACAGCAGACATGATTTTCATCAACAATTAGATGGAAGAGAAAATTGAAAAGTGAGACGATACAGATTAAAGAAATTTAGAAAAGTTAACCAATTAAAATGTATGGGACCTGGGCTGGCAAGATGGCTAAGAAGGTCAAGGTGCTCTCCACCAAGCCTGATGGCCTGAGTTCAATCCCTGGAGCCCACATAGTGGCAGGACAAAACTGACTTTGTAAGCTGTTCTCTGACCTCCACATGGGTGCCACAGTCTGTGTGCCCAAACACATATACATGTGTATGAATAGTCTGATTTGGATCCTGATTTTCAAGAAAACTATGATGTAACTAAAAATTTGAGCACAAATTGGACATAAAATGTTAAGGAATTATGATTCTACACATATGTGTATACGTTACAAAGGAACTGTAAACCTCTATCTATCTATCTATCTATCTATCTATCTATCTATCTATCTATCTATATCCATATCCATCCATTCATCTATCCATCTATATAAACAAACCATCCTTATCTTGTATAAATGTACTTTATTTGAAACATTTATGCCTAAGGCAATTTATTTTAGATTTATCTTCACAGACAGTCTTCACATGTAGGAAGTGATTAAGCTGGCCATGACTCAGCCGGAAGTGAGGTAGTGAGAGCATGGGTTCACACTACTCTTTCCATGACTCAGCTGAAAGTGAGGTCGTGAGAGCATGGGTTCACACTACTCTTTTGTTTGTTTGTGTATCTTTACATTTTTCCATAGTAGAAATTTAGAATAAAGTTAATGTCAACAACAAAGAGAATGCAGTTTTCAATCACAAAAAGAATAAAGCACTCAAGTATTAAGAAGAATTAGAGAAAACCCCACCCTCGTTCATTTCCTGATGCCACCAAACTCTGTTATAGAGAGGTTAGTGGACACTGGTCTTAGGAGGACCATAGTTTGGGAGTGGAATAGTGGGGTAGATGCTATATGATTTGAGAATTTTCACATCCTACTCATCATGTATATTCTTGTACTAATTTTGTTGTCCTTTTAATGCTTCAGTTAAATTATAGTTTCTTTTTTATTTAAAAAATTTTTATGTGTATGGATGTTATTTTATTTGTTTGTTTTTTGGGATAGGGTTTCTCTGTGTAACAGTCCTGGCCGTCCTGGAGCTCACTTTGTAGACCAAGCTGGCCTTGAACTCACTGAGATCTGCCTGCCTCTGCCTCCCAAGTGCTAGGATTAAAGGCGTGTGCCACCACCGCCTAGCTGTGATGGATGTTTTACCTGCATGCATGTCTGTGCACCACATGTGTGCCTGGTGCCCATGGAAGCCAGAAAAAGGTGTTAGAATCCCTAGAACTGGAGTTACAGGTGATTGTGAGCAGCCATGTGGTGCAGGGAGTTGAACCTGGGTCATCTAGAAGAGCAGTCAGTTTGCTTAACCACTGAGCCATCTCTCTGGTCCCAAATGCTAGTTTCTTAATACTGAAAATAAAACTAAACAAACCAAAAATAGTTTTCTGGCTATATCAGACCTATGGTTGTCCTTTGCCAACTCTTGCTTCACTTGGAGATAGGAGTGTTTGTGTGTGTGTGTGTGTGTGTAATTTTTTGTAATGCTTTTTGAAATAACAGACTTTTTTAAGTTCCAAGAATTGTACATGTCATAGTTAGAGTTTCTATTGCTATGATGAAACACTGTGACCAAAAGCAACTTGGGAAGGAAAGGGTTTCTTTAATCACACTTCCATATAACAGTTCATCCTCAAAAGTAGTTAGGTCAGAAACTCAAAACAGGGCGGGAACCTAGAGGCAGAAGCTGATGCAAAGGTCATGGAGGAGTGCTGCATATTGCCTTGCTCCTTTTCATTGTATCTGTGTAAGAGTGATTGCTAGCTGGGAGGCGGTGGCACTTGCCTTTAATCCCAGCACTTGGGAGACAGAACCTGGCGGATCTCTGTGAGTTCAAGGCCAGCCTGGTCTACAGAGCAAGATCCAGGACAGGCACCAAAACTACACAGAGAAACCCTGTCTCAAAAAATAAAAAACAAAATAAAGAGTGATTGCTAATAACCTTGTGATATAGTCAATACTGGCTGTCTTGAAATCTCCTCTACCAACAAAATTAGTCCAAACCTCTTCAATTTAGCCTCAGGCAGATTCTTAAGACAAGGGCAGAAGTCAGCAACATTCTTTGCCAGATTATCACGAGCATGGTCTCTAACCCAGTTACTAATATTGTTCACATCCGAAACCTCTCGAACTAGGCCTCCATGGTCCACATTGCTCTCAGCACCACTGTCTTCCAAGCTCCTAGAAGGATGGCCCATTAATCCCCACTTACAGCATTCAACAGCTTTCCAAGTCCAAAGTCCCAAAGTCTTCCACATTTCCAAAAACAAAACAAAACAAACAAACACCAGCATGGTCAGGCCTGTCTACAGCAATAGCCCACTCCCTGGTACCACTTTCTGTCTTAGTTACAATTCTGTTGCCATGACAAAACACCATGACCACGGCAACTTATAAATGAAAGCATTTAATTTTGGTGCTCTCAGTTCCAGAGGGTAGTAGAATCCATGACCATCATAGCTGGGATCATGGCAGCAGGCAGGCAGGCAGGCATGGCACTGGGAAAGCAGCTGAGACTTTACATCTGATCCACATACATGAGGCTGAAAGAGGGAGCTACTGAGAATAGCATGGGCTTTTGAAAACTCAAAGCCCACCCCAGAGACACCTCCTCCAACAAGGCCATACCTCATAATCCTTCCAAACAGTTGCACCAACTGGGGACCAAATATTCAAGTATGTGAGCCCATGGTGGCTGTTCTCATTCAAGCCATCTCAGTTCCTGCTCCTACATCATTTGTTTATACACGTCTTATAGTTCTTGCTTTTTATGCTTTTCTTTTTTAAGATAGTCTCATGGATTCCAGGCTGCCTCCAACTCACTATGTAGCTAAGGATGACCTTGAACTTCTGACATCCTGCTTCCACCCTGAGTTACTAGACTACCAGGATGCACCTCTATGCCCAGTGTACATACAATTGTTTTCAAAGTGTCTCCTTTTATTTTTTATTTATTTATTTATTTATTTATTTATTTATTTATTTATTTATTTATTTATTTATTTATTTGGTTTTTCGAGACAGGGTTTCTCTGTGTAGCTTTGCGCCTTTCCTGGAACTTGCTTGGTAGCCCAGGCTGGCCTCAAACTCACAGAGATCCGCCTGGCTCTGCCTCCCGAGTGCTGGGATTAAAGGCGTGCGCCACCACCGCCCGGCCAAAGTGTCTCCTTTTAAAGTATCTTAGAGCAAGTCTAACTACATTTAGTTTCTTTGAGAGCAAGGATCTTTCTGTCCTAAGAAAATATTTGCTAATCAGTGTTAAGCAGTGGGTCCATCTTTGTTTTAGTTCTTAGCCTTTCAAAGGGACCATCCTTCAGGCTGTTGCTTTTCAAAGTGCCTCATCAGCTTCACATCAGGGTCCACCTCTCTGAGTCCTCACCAGTTCTAACTGAGCTTATATAGTTCCACTCTAGTATACCATGGAGCTCTAGTTCAAGGTTATTAGAATTCTGCCTGAAAATTAGTAATTTCATGATACTATATTATACCTTACTGGTCTAAAAAAGGACTTAATGTCCTTGTGTGTTGTCAGGAAGTAACTTCAGGGACATTTAGTGAATTTATCTACTAATTTTATTGTCATTACCTTCTTTGTGAATGAATTTGGAGAGTATATACAAAAATGAATAAGAGCCAGGGGGTGGGGGTGGTGCACACCTTTAATCCCAGCACTAGGGAGGCAAAGGCAGGTGGATCTTTATGAGTTCAAGGCCAGCCTGGTCTACAGAGTGAGTTCCAGGACAGCCAGGGCTACATAGAGAAACCCTGTCTTGAAAAACAAAAACAAACAAACAAACAAAAAAAGATGAATAAGATACCCTTTTCCTTCAGATAGTTCAGTTAGATGGTAACTAGATTCAATTAAACAGATATGTAGAGTCTAACTCTTACAGTGTAGAAAATTAGAATGTTTTCTCCTTTGTTGAACCAACTATAATGACATTCTGTATTAATAAATCTTACAGTTCATGGGACTGAAGTTTGATGAACTCAATCTTACAGTTCATTGCTCATAGGTTAAAAACACGTGTTGCGCCGGGCGGTGGTGGCGCACGCCTTTAATCCCAGCACTCGGGAGGCAGAGCCAGGCGGATCTCTGTGAGTTCGAGGCCAGCCTGGGCTACCAAGTGAGTTCCAGGAGAGGCACAAAGCTACACAGAGAAACCCTGTCTCGAAAAACCAAAAAAAAAAAAAGAAAAAAAAGAAAAAAAAAAAAAAACACGTGTTGCTCTTCCAGAAGACCAAAATTCAATTCCCAGCACCCTTGTGGCAGCTCACAGCCGTCTGTAACTCCAATACCCTCTTCTGGCCTCCATAGGCATCAGGCATGCACATGGTACACAGACATACAAGAAAGCAAAGCACTCATGCACATAAAATATTTATTATTCTATTTATTTATTTATTATATATTTTAAAATATTTATAATTCATATGACACTATTATGTAGCTCAATGTAGCAAAGAATAAATGTTACTTCCTAACATGATTAAGTATTTAATTTTAAAAATTTCTTAGGAAAATGTTTTATATTTATTTTTTGAATAGTTTCTTGTGTTTTCTAGCATTGTGCATCTTAGATTATTAATATTTAGCTCAACCATGTCCATAATTGTTTCCATATTTTGTGAGGTTTTTGCCTCCTGAATACCTTATCTTGTAAAATTGAGAAACTGTACTATAATCTTGGTGTAGTATATTGAATTTGTAGAAGGATTGTTGTATCTGCTATAGAGGAAGAAATACATAATAAAATGAACATTTTAGAATGTCATCCTGGATTCTCATTGAATATTTATACTTCTGTCTAGACAAATGAAAGCACATCTACTTCCAATTGATTTTTTTGTTGTTGTTGTTGTTGTTTTGTTTTTTTGTTTTTTTTTTTTTCAAGACAGGGTTTCTCTGTGTAGCTTTGCGCCTTTCCTGGGACTCACTTGGTAGTCCAGGCTGGCCTCGAACTCACAGAGATCTGCCTGGCTCTGCCTCCCGAGTGCTGGGATTAAAGGCATGCGCCACCACCGCCCGGCTTGATTTTTTAACTGTATTTCTAAAAGAAGAGAAAAGCACTGGAGGAGATGGAAATGTTTGTGCCCAGTTTGCATGGCTCCAGATCATTTCCATTTCTGTTGTTTTCCATTCTGTTTTTTAATTTTTAAAGCATATAAAAATTACCAGCTGAGAAACATTAGTTTTTGCGTTCGCCTCTTGGGGGCAGAGTGCTGAGGCTGCAGAAACATTGCATTTTAGAAAAAATTGTTTTTAAATTTTTTAAAGTATCTACTTCAAACCAGTTAACTGTCACTATAGTCAGTGACCATAACAATATGAGTGGTTTGTTTATTTTTATTAGAAGTGGAAATTAAAATTTTCTTCCTAAGGAACCTAGTTACTCTTTAGGAAAAAACTAGAATTTAAATATTTTTATAACAACAAACCAGTTGATACTACCTGAAATAATCTGGATATGTGAAATATTTTTGGTTGTGAGCCTAGCTTTAATGGCTAAGCTATCTCCCCAGCCCAAGGATATGTGAAATATTAATATTGTAATTTAAAGCAGAATATTTTGTTACAAATACAATTATAAGAGCACATGCGTAATAAAATAAGAGTCTAGTCTGTAAACTAGGACCAGGTTGAGACAGTATTGGTGATTTCTGTGTATTTCCTCATTGGCTAAATTAGTCTAAATTAGTCACTTTGGTAAAGGAGGAATTTTATCAAGTTTATCTCAAGAAAAGACCAAATGAGTTCTTTTGATATGAAATTTGTATAACTTTACTGTAAAATGAATTTTTTTCACTTGTCTTCTGTAGATCCTCAGTTTTAAAGAGAGAGAAGTTTGAAAAACTATTTTGTTGGGTTAGAATGCTATAATTCTCCTGCAAATAAAATATCTCTTAAACAGGACAAGTGAATTAATGTATGATGTTCTTGATGAATCCTTACGAAGAGCCGAGTTAAATCACAATGTCACTTATGGTAGGTAAAATATGAACATGTTTTCCTAATGACTGGTAGTGCTTTTCAGTGGTGGAGCTACGTCTGTGTTACAATAACATAAATTCCAAAGAAATTTTATGCATTAATTTTAAGATGGTTCTTTGGGTTAATGTGGGCCCTGAAAATAGTAGTAATTTGAAATTGTGGCTTTGTGTGTGTGAGTATAAATATGCAAGTATGTGTGTGTGTGTAGGTACTCATGCATGTGTGTGCACTTTGATGTAGAGGCCAGAGGGCAGTCTTGGGTGTTGCTGTGAGTATAGATATGCAAGTATGTGTGTGTGTAGGTACTCATGCATGTGTGTGCACTTTGATGTAGAGGCCAGAGGGCAGTCTTGGGTGTTGCTGTGAGTATAGATATGCAAGCATGTACACTCTGTCCAGCTTTTTCTGTTGGTTCTGGGGAACTAACAGAGGTCCTCATATTTGTTCCTCAGGCTTGCTTGACAAGCACCTTATCAACTGAGCTATCTTTTCAGCTGTGAAATTGTGACATCTACTAAATATGTACTTAAATTCCTCTTTAGAATTGTCCTTGTTGAAAACACCTACCAAAACATCTAATTTTGAAGATAATTCATTAAGTCTGTGACATATTATGTAAAAAGTTTCTATTTGAAGTTTTTAAAGCATTTAACAATTAAATTTCTTTGACTGTTCAGGATAAGACAAAAGTAAAATTTAGTCTAAAGAACTCTAAATTTTGTTTGAGCACAATCTAACCCAAAATATCAAAGATAAAACTAGTGTCATCAATGTTAGGACATTACAGTTTTTAATTTAATAGTTTTTACTTTGTATTTGGATTAGGGCATGGATTGTTATTGAAAAGTACACAGAGTATAATGATTTATTGTTAAGGTGTCTGTGTATTTATGATCTACACGTGTAGGTTTACATGTAGGATCAGGCCACAGCTTTCTCTCCTACTTTTCTGTGTGTTCCAGTAATCGAACTCAGGTTGCCAGGATTTTGTGGCAAGTGCCTTTACCCACTAGCCGTTCTCTAGTGCTGATGTATTTTCAGCTTGGAAACTGACAGAAGCACTTTTTATTTTAACCACTGCCAAGAGGGGTGGGCTAGGCTGTTCTTTTGGTTATAAGCGTATATCCAGATTTTTGTAGTATTGGAGAGCTCTAAGTGGGGAAATAATTTTTAAAAATCTGTCAAATAGGAAAGAGGATGTAGCTCAGTTGATAGAGTCCCTGAAGTCCATGACGGTCTAGGCATAGGGTCACTGCCTACCAACACATGGAGGGAAGACAGGAGGACCTCCAGGTTCAAGGTTATCCTTCACAACATAGTGAGTTCAAGGTCAGCCTGGCATGTATGAGACCCTGTACCATCCCCCTCAAAAAAAAAACAAAAAAAATTCATCAAATTGGTTTTCAACTTAATTATGCCTAAATACAGCTTTTGAAGTATTACTTCTTATACTAGTATCCCAGTAATCTCATGAGCAGCTATAAAAAAGTTTAGAGTGTAGATGGATGATGACAATTTTTTTTGTTTGTAAAATAAATTTTGATACCAGGAGAGTTCTGAATGGCAAAAAAGAAATCAGTTATAATAGAAAAACATAATATCATCATTTTAAATCTTACTTAGTACTGTTGTGATAGTTCAAGGTTCAGCAAGGTTTGTTTGGTCTTTTTGTTTGTTTGTGTTTTTCAAATAATGCCCATGATATTAAGTATTTTAGATTTTTCAAGTCACATAGATTTCTCTCTCTCTCTCTCTCTCTCCCTCCCTCCCTCCCTCCCTCCCTCTCTCCCTCCCTCTCTCCCTCTCTCCCTCTCTCTCTTAAAACAGCCTGTGTTGGCCTCAATCCCTACACAGCTGTAGGTGACCTTGAACTCTTGATACTCCCGCCACCTCTTTCTCATGCTGGGATTATAAACATGTGTTACCATGTCTGGTTCTACTTAGGTTTCTATTGCATATTCTCCCTTTTTTATTAAAAAAAATCTTAATTTCTTCTTTATGTGTGCGTGCCCACAAAATTGCTTACATTCCACAGCTTGCCTGTGGCAGTCAGGACAACTTAGAGTTATTCTCTTCTCCCACCACGTGGGTCACCAAGAGAGTGCTTTCCCCACTGAGCCGTTTCACTCCCGTGTTGTTGGAATCTTCTGTAAAATATAAAAACGATTTTCAGCTCATTGGCTTACAAAAGCAGGCTCAGGATGGACTGTGGTGTTTGCTCATTTTAGTGCATCCTCTGAATATACAGCCGGTAGCTTTAGGTTTGCTTACTCTATAGTTTTTTTTTTTTTTTTTTTTTTTTTTTGGAGCTGAGGATCGAACCCAGGGCCTTGTGCTTGCTAGGCAAGCACTCTACCACTGAGCTAAATCCCCAACCCTTACTCTATAGTTTTTATGTTAAAAATCAGCGCTCTTTTGATTAGTAATTCAGAATCTGATTTACTTACCTCAGTTATGGAAGATGTTATATGAAATCTTCCTGCAGAATATTTGTGCATTAGTGGATGTGTGACATCTGGTGTGAAGTCCTGCTGGTTGTATGTTGAACATCTTACAAGCATGCCTAATGGAAATGTGCGGTTGCTTCAGCCTGGGCTGTGGGGATGGAGCGGTTCTGTTGGCCCATGACATACTTTACTTTGTAATTGTTTTACATCTGCTGCTTCTGTGCCTGTATGGTGTCTCACTTTTTTCTTGTCTTCTTCATGTGTTTTTGTTTTGAGATAGTCTTGCTATGTCTTCCTGGTTGGCCCGGAACTCGTTATATAGTTCATGCTGGCCTGAGCACTCAGCACTCCTGCCTCTGGATGCTGGGATTGCAGGCGTGCATCACTACATTTTCATTTATGTCTCCTTTCAGATGCTGTGATTGCACAGGCCTTGTAAGACTTAATGATAGCTTAATAATTCTCTCTCTTTAGGTGTGTGTGTCGTGTATTACTCTGTGTACACCTGTGTGTGTTCTTTCTTGTGTGCAAATGTGAGGTCAGAGGTTGACTTCTCATGTCTTTCTCTGTCACTGTTCACTTTTTTTTTTTAATTTAACTTATTCTGTTTCTAATTATGTGTGTTTGTGTATGTGTATGTGAATTCAGGTCCCCTCAGAGGCCAAAAGAGAGCATTGGATTGCCCTGGAGCTGGGATTTCTTCAGTGTGGGTGCTGGGAACTGAACTCTGGTCCTCTGCAAGGGCAGCAAGCATTCTTAACCTCTGAGCCTTCTTCCTAGCCCCCATCTTTACCTTTTTTTTTTTTTTTTGAGACAAGGTCTATTTAACTGACCCTGGAACTCACCTCTTAGCCAGACTGACTGGTCTGTGAGCCTCCTCTGGCCTCCATGCTCTTCCCTCGGTGCTGGTGGCACAGATCTGTACTACTGTGCTCAGCTTTTATGTGGGCCCTGGAGAGGTGAACCCAGCAATCCCTTTTCACCACTGAGCCTCCACCTTAGCCTCAGTGACCCTTCTTTACCCGACAAAACGCATCAGCTCTTGTTCTTCACATGAACTGAAAGAGTTTGTATTCTCTTTAATCATCGTAGTTATTCTTTTGACTTTATCAGGAAATTAAAATTGAGCATTTTAAAGATATATAATAACCTGTTCTATATGTTAGAGATTACTTTTAAAAAAGTAGCCTGAAGATCCTTAAATAGTGACCCCTGCCTTTGAAATAAATGGCTGTGCATACTAAGATGATTATTGTGTACTGGTAGAAACTACTTGAAAATTTATTATTTTAGAGTATTTAAGGAGTGTTGGGAAGATTTGTTTATGTAGGAATAACAAATGTGTTTTTAATGTATGTGTTAGATTGTGGGCTTCTGAAGGGCAGGGGGTTTTAACTGTTGTTCACTGTTGTACCCGTAGTGTTAACACCATTTCTGGCATATATAGGGTTCAGTATATACTTGTGTGAATGAATACACAATACTTTTTTTTACTGGTGACAACATTTTCTGTACTGTGTTAACCCAAATAACTGCTTAACATGAAAATAAATTGTTTCTTTAGAAATTTTTTATAAATAAGATTTAGACTGAAACATTTCCTCCACTTAGTTTTATTTCAAGTTCTATACAAACTTGTTCTTCTGTTGTACTGAAATATACCTGTCATTTTTGTATTTCCTTTCCTTAGCTATTCTGTTTGAGTGTGTGCACACAATCTATTCTATTTACCCTAAATCAGAATTGCTTGAGAAGGCCGTCAAGTGCATTGGAAAGTTTGTTCTGTCACCCAAAATAAACCTCAAGTATTTAGGTAAGGTGATTGGTTCTTACGATGGAAATTGGAGAGAGAGCTTTTGAGATTGGCTGGGTACGTATTTCAGGTCGTTGAACTATAATGTGATCTTTATTTCTAGGACTGAAGGCTCTTACCTATGTTATCCAGCAGGATCCTTCTCTGGCTCTTCAACACCAGATAACCATAATTGAATGCCTAGACCACCCTGATCCCATTATTAAAAGAGAGGTAAATTAGGGCTGAAGAGAGAATGACTCAGCAGTTAAAAGTGCTTGCTGCTCTTGAGAGGACCTGAGTTCAGTTCCCAGTACCCTCCAACGGCAGAGGGATCCGATGCCCTCTCTTGACCTCCAGGCACCTGCACACATGTGGCATATATTCACACAGACACAGATACAGATCCACATAAATAAATATTAAATCTCCTTTTTTAAAAAAAAAGAGGGGTAAAATATTTTGAATAGTGTGTGTAAAGTGGTAAGTTTTTTTAAACTTTTGATGTTCTTAAGAGAGATTCGCATGACGGCCAGTGTGTGTGTGTGTATATGTATATGAATATATTTTAACTCAGATATATTTAATTCTTCCTATTTTTAAAATCTTGTTTTTATTCTTTGACAGTCTGCTGTGCACAGTGCATGTTAGTCCTCTTACCTCCTGTTACCCTCTCTCACTCCCTGGCTTCAGCTGAAACCCTTTTCTTCCCATCATGTCTGTGAGCGTGAGTTTAGTCAGAGTCTCTTGCATGAGCATGGGTGACTCATCACTGTAGGGAGCTGGTACCTTCTCTGGCCACTGTTCGTTGTCAAGTAGTCCCTCGTGGAAAGCTGTCCGTTTTCTACAAAACACTACTAACCTGCCTCTTGCTGTGTAGCACAGGCGAGACTCAAACTCGTGATGCCCCTGCCTCCATCACCCAAATGCTAGGATTGTAGGTGTGTCACCAAAGGCAGCCCACAGCAATGTTCTTAATATGTGAACTGGAAAGCTTAGGTCCAGTTATATATATGAAGTTATTGATTTATTATTTTTTTTAATGTAAGTACTATGACAGTGGGAACTGAATTCTAGTTCTGGATTCTTGTATTAGTATAAAATAAACATACTCCAGTTATATATAATACATAATATATGATGGCTATTAAATGAACTCACTGTTAAATAGGAAAATTGATAGAATTCTGTAGAAGTATAAGATAATAATTTGAACTTCATGGGAGAGAAGTTGTGCTTCTGTGTCTAATATTGTTCTGACTTCCTTTTATTAAATTGACTCAGTGTCTCTTTGGGTATCTACATAAAGAGCTCTGCTCATTCTCTTATAGAGAAATCACTGTATCTTCATTTAAAGTGGTATATGGGGCCTATTTAAGAAAAGTGAGAAGTTGATTTCAGATTTAAAACATAATGAGGATTTTTCTTCCCAAGACAGGGTTTCTTTGTGTAACATCCCTGGCTGTCCTGGAACTTGATTTGTAGACCAGGCTGGCCTTGAACTTTAGAGGCCTGTCTCTGCCTCCTGTGTACTGGGATTAAAGGTGTGTACCACCATGCCCGGCTATTATAATGAGGATTTGTTTTGTTTTTTGTTTTATGAGACAGAATTTCACTGTGTAGCCCTGGCTGTCCTGGAACTTACTCTGTAGACCAGGTTGGCCTTGAACTCACAGAGATCCAACTGCCTCTGCCTCCTGAGTGCTGGGATTAAAGATGTGTCCTACCACTGCCCAGCTTATAATGAGGATTTTTTTTTAAAGAGAATGTAAAGCTGGAGAGATGGCTCAGTGATTAAGAGCATTTGCTGCTCTTACAGATGACCTAGATTTGGTTTCTGGCACCAACATGGTGGTTCACAAAATCTGTAACTCTAGTTTCAGGGCATCCAATGCCCTTTTCTGGCTCTTCAGGTACCAGGCACACATATAATACACAGACATACATGCAGCAAAACACATACACATAAAACAAAATAAAATAACTCCATTTCTTAAAAAAAAAAGAATATTAAATACCTTAACTTCAAAGCAGTGAGTTAAAAATGGAGCTTGACTGAACACTGTATTATGCCTGACAATTATAGTTTTTAAAAGATTATGGGGGGCTGGAGAGATGGCCAGCAGTTAAGAGCACTGACTGTTCTTCCAGAAGACCTGGGTTCAATTCCCAGCACCCACATGGCAGCTCACTAATGTCTGTAACTTCAGGATCTAACACCCTCACACAGACATGCATGCAGGTAAAACACCAATGCACATAAAAATAAAAAATAAAAGATTATGCATTTTAAATTTTAAAAGTATTTTAAATGTAAGTTATTTGCATATGTGCATTTACATATAGACATGTATTTCATATTTTAAAACAGCTTAAAAATAAAAAAGACTCTAAGGGCAGTAAAAAATTAATTATACAGCCCATCTATTTTATCAGATAGACAGCATGCATTTTTGTGTTATTAATAGAGTTAGTTGAACACAGTTCAGCAGTTTCCTTATCACTATATCACTATTAGTATTTTGCATTGCTTATCTTTTTTTAACTTTAGGTTTCTTTTTAATACAACAACAGCTCCAATATGTGGCCCACATATCAGCCTTTCCATAGGGAAACAGTCTCCTTACTGTGCCCTGTTTGGTCACAGTGTAGATCCTGAGGGCCCTTCTCAGGAACATAGATGTCTCCCAGCCTCAGGGCACTATTCCCCCACCACCACCAGGTTTCCTCATTTCCCTTCATATCACTTCATCTTGTTAGTTCCCTCTTCCTCCCCACCTTAGTTCAAGTTCACACTTTTTCCTTTTTTTAATTTGTGGTGTTGGAGAATAGGATCTAGTACCTCACATATTCTAGGCAATTAAGTACTCCACCACTGAGTGACAACCCCAGCAAAACTGGCGTTTCTTTATCACCTATTAGCTGACTCTCCTGAAAATCTCTACAGAAACAGAACAGTTAGCTTATTCTAAACGCATTTATTATATTTATTGGTGTTATCATGTATAGTTTTATAATACTGTTTTTATTTCTCTTAATAGACTCTGGAACTTCTTTACAGAATTACAAATGCACAAAATGTAATAGTTATTGTACAGAAAATGCTTGAATATTTGCATCAGAGCAAAGAAGAGTATATCATCATCAATTTAGTTGGCAAAATAGCTGAGTTGGCTGAGAAATATCCTTTGCTTCAACTGTGACTCATATATACCTTTATGCACTGACTTGAAATGGTGGTACAAATGTGGTCAGTTGTGAATTGAGTTCAGGGACCCAGCAATTGAATTTTTGATTCTTTTTTCTTTTTTTCTTTTTTTTTTTTAATTTTCTGAAGCTGAGGACCGAACTCAGGGCCTTGTGCTTGCTAGGCAAGCGCTCTACCACTGAGCTAAATCCCCAACCCTGAATTCTTGATTCTTAAGCCTCAGAAATTTGTATAGACTTCTTGGGGGTTGGTTTTTTTAGATGTCTGTTGGAACTTGGGACTTAGTTAGATGTACTCTGGCCTAGGCAGTGCTATAGCTTTGACCTAGCAGTGGTCAGCTTTAGAACTGAGGACAGAGGCATTACAAAGAGGTTAAATACTCGGCTCAGGTGGACATTCCACAGCTTTAGCCTCTCTGGAATATGTATGTGATAAGTTTTAGGCCTGCTGAAGGCCTCTCCACCATTGCAACAAACTGAATCAGACCAAATTAGAAAGCCCAGGTCTAATGGGTAAAGCGCTCCCGGGCGATTCCCTGGCCCTGCAGAGAGGAGAAGGGGACGAGACCAGAAGAACCACGAGTCTGTTTTCAGGGATGCCACTTATATATCCCCTGTGAGAGTGGTTCTGAGCCTCTCTGGGGGAGGAGCTGTGTTCGGCAGGCTTTGAAGGGGCTGGTTTAGGGAAAGAGATGGGGAAGGGAGCTGAGGGGGATCTTCTACCAGACTCCTTCCAAACATTCCAGGCTTTTTGGGTATAGGGATGCCAGGGTGCCAAGGGTTGAGGTGGAGCTCCCACCAAAACAGTATGAATCTTCCATTATTTGCTTGTCACAGATAGCTGTCTTATTTCTTCAAATTATTCATGTTTATACCTGCAATGTGTAAGCCTAGTGCTTGATTTTATATAGAACTGAGTTTTAAAGCATTTTTGGTAGAAGTTAGAAATAAGCTGCCACACTGGCATGGATTGGAGTTCCTTTTAAAGGGTTGTTGCAGAAGGGATGATTTCAGTGAGTGTCATGAGGAAGTGACTTGTTCTTAACACTGGACACATATGCTCCTGACAATGTGTGGTTTATTCAGACAATGAATGCTGTGTTTTCAGTGGGAGGAGATGTAATGCACCCTGATATCCTCAGTAACTTCCTGAGACTGCTAGCAGAAGGTTGGTAAAGAATTTTAAATTATGTTTTATTACAGTCATTGGGAATTAAGGGAAACTAAACTGGTGTTTCAATTTCTTTGTAGGTTTTGATGATGAGACAGAAGATAAACAATTAAGAGTCTATGCAGTTCAGTCTTATCTTACTTTACTAGATATGGAAAATACTTTCTATCCACAGAGATTTCTTCAAGTTATGAGTTGGGTGAGCAAAAACCTATTACATGCACATTATTATAACAACATATTTCCTCCAGGAATCATTCAGCTCTTCTCAGTTGTCCGTTTTCTTTCCCAATGTTTACTTTTATATCTAAACTATTTACTTATCCTTTGTACCATCTCACTGGTCTGGTCTTTGGTAAAGGATAATTGTTGTTGTTGTTTGTTTCGGTTTTTGTTTTTTGTTTTTTAAGACAGTCTTATGTATCTCAGACTGCACTCAAACTTGCTGTGTAGTCATGGAAAGCCTTGAACTTGCAATTCTTTGGCCTCAACTTCATAGGACTGTGGGCATGTACCACCGTGCTTGGTTTTATCCTTGCTGGGTATCAAACCCCAGCCTTCTTGTATGCTAGGCAAACAGTAACTGAGCTACATTCCTAGACCCTCTGTGTATGTTTTACATATAACTGATGTCAGGCATTTGGGTGTAGTTAATGGGAATAATAAGAGGAAATAATCTTCTCACAAACAGAAGTCCATTAAAAATTGATTTTTGAAATGTAACTCAGGTTACCTGCTCTTCTGGAACTTTCTGTCTTTTACTTATTAAAGCCTCTTTTAAAATTAACTGTTTTGTTGTAGTTTGTTTGTTTTTGAGAGGAGCAGGATCTCCCTTTGCCACCTAGGCTGGCCTTGAATTCATGACTCTCGTGCTTAATCAGTTGGTACTTGTAGACCTGCAGTGCTGTATCCAGTATTTTGTGTATTTTAAATTGGTGCCTCACTGTGTTGCTTAGACTTTCTCCTTTTGGACTATTTTAAAGACAGATTGTTGCTGTAGCCCTGGCTGGCCTGGGACTCGCTATATAGCAGCAGCTCGTCTGGAACTCCTGGCAATCCTGCTGTCTCAGCCACCCAGATGCTGTGTAGACACTGGCCGTGATTCCCTCCCTGCTCATTCTGTTCTGCTGATCTTAGTAGCTGTGTCTAAGATGATAATTTTGTCATTTATAAAATGATTGTTAGACCAATCATGGATGTTGCTTGAATAAATTAGATGTGGGGAAAAAAGTATCTGTAGCATGATCAGTATTCTTTTTGTTTGTTTGTTTTGTTTTGTTTTTTTTCGAGATAGCACTTCTCTGTGTAGCCCTGGCTGTCCTCGAACTCATAGAGATCCGCCTGCCTCTTCCTCTGTGCTTTGTGAGAGACCTTAAGAAATACTAGAAATCTGTATTTTGTAAAATCATACTCTTACTAACATGTAAGGCCTACCTATCTAAATTCTTACTGGAAAATAAACCAGTTTCTAACTGGAAGTTCAGAAAAACACTAACCTATAAAGGTATTTTACTTTACATATTGTTACTAATGTGTTCCAGTTCTTTTGTATTGAGGATACAGTTCTTGATATAATCTACAGTGTTTCTTTAATAGCGTTCATCATAAAAATGTATTGAATACAGATAGCAGTTCATTCTAGCAGTAGGTCTGGATATGGTACTCTCTGACTTGGTATTTCCATTTATACCATTTTGTTTTACTCCAGGTGTTAGGAGAGTATTCCCACCTCTTAGATGAAGAAAGTCCGGAGGGAGTTATAAGCAGGCTGTACAAGTTACTTATGAGTGACTCCATTTCTTCAGAAACAAAGGCCTGGTTGATTGCCGCAGTGACCAAGCTGACGCCCCAGGCACGTTCTTCTCATGTAGTTGAGAAATTAATCCAGGAATTCACGATCTCTTTGAATACTTGTCTGAGACAGCATGCATTTGAATTGAAACATCTGCACGAAGATGTAGAGCTTATGAAGAGCTTGCTTCAAGGTGCTCAGACCTGTGAAGACACAGTGGTAAGAACCCTGTGCTCCATTCTGTCAAAATCGTGTTGCCTAAACAGAGTCATTGCATGATGAATAAGGAATGTATCAAAAAATAGTTTCTGTAGCGTGTGTGATGGAGTTTGTGGTTTGTCACATGTTGGTGGGGAGAGATTGGAGAGGTTCCCTTTAGTCCTAGTTCTAAATGGGTGCAGGGGAGTGCCTTGTTTGTAGCTTCTTGTAGTCTTGAGATTCAGGAAAGGCTGTATGGAGAGGAGACGAGGTGCTGGAGGGTAACAGGCTCTTTAGCCTTGTGTGGCTTAGCTTAGAAGTTGGGCTTCTGGGAGGTCACACTCACACAACATTTCCACCAAGTCAGGGCCCTTGTCTCAAATTTGAACAGTGAAATTCACATCCCATAGAAGAGTAAGACTCAGGAGTTTTAGTGAGTGATCAGAGGAAAAGGGCAGACAGAGCTCCTGTGTAGCAAGAGCAGGTCCTAGGAAAGGGGCCACTGCTGGGGTCATTGCCTAGGGATAGTAAGGCCCCACGGCTTGAGACATGGGATTCAGTTTCTGGTCACACTCACACATAGCCTCTATCCGGTTATAAAAGGAAAAGAAGCCGGGCGGTGGTGGCGCACGCCTTTAATCCCAGCACTCGGGAGGCAGAGGCAGGCGGATCTCTGTGAGTTCGAGGCCAGCCTGGTCTACAGCGCGAGATCCAGGAAAGGCGCAAAGCTACACAGAGAAACCCTGTCTCGAAAAACCAAAAAAAAAAAAAAAAAAGGAAAAGAAAAAAAAGAAAGAAAGAAAGCAAATCAGGATTCCTCCATTTGTCAGTATAGCTTCTCTGACATTCTGAGGAGACACAATCTCAGAGCATGCACTCTGATCCTCTGGATCTTACAGTCTTTCTGCCCCTCTTCCTCAATGTTCCCTGAGCCCTAGGTGCAGGAGTGCTGGGATCAAGGTGTGTGCCACCACTGCCGGCTGCGAACATATTCTTTTTCTTTTTTCTTTTTCTTTCTTATTTTTGGATTTTTGAGACAGAGTTTCTATGTGTAGCCCAGGAACTTGCTCTGTCCTCGAACTCCACCTACCTCTGCCTCCCAAGTGCTGGGATTCAAGGCATGCACCACCACACCAGGCAGGAACATTTCCTTAATTGAGGTTCCTTACTCTCAGATGACATTAGCTTGTTGACATAAAACTATCCTACATAAGGTCAGATACAACTTGGGTCCTCTGGATCCTGTGTCCAAAACACATGGTGTCTTCAGCAATAGCAACTTACTGTCTACCTCTGGGAAGCACCAAGGACAATAGTAATAACCTGTGTGTTTTAGGAGTCTCTTGGACAACCCTGACCAGCAACTCAAAAGAGGGCTTCTCTGCTTGGTATTAAACTTTTTCTGTGGCTCTTAGGGGAACCTTGTTAGCCCAGATGGAAATTTCATATATGAATACACAGACTTCTTTTAGTTCTGTGTCTGATACGGACAGAACAGGTTGGAGCAGACCACAGGATGTACAATTTGAATGTGGCTTAAATGAGATGAGGTCAGGTGGCCACAGGGTACTGGGTTGGTTCTCGTCCAAACCTGGAACTTAAGGGTATATGTGGGGACTGGGACGGGTGTGGGCAAGGGAGGATCAGGTGAGCTCACCTGGCTAGCCACTGGAAAAGGGTGTACAAGATATGGCTGGGTTGAGAAGTTGGATGTGGCATGGAGAGGAACTTGTAGGTTGTGAGCAGGTAGGGCAGGTCTTGGCAGAAGTCTAGAGGTTGGTAGCAGCACAAGACAGATGGCCAAACTCGGTAGGCACTGGGTGTGGGACTTAACCTAGATCTGGGGGACTTTTAGAGAGTACAGTCAGGCCAACTAGACCCCAAAGAAGGATCTCTCCTAAAAAGCTTAAAAGATACATGCGTCAAAGTTATATGAATGTATTGTCTAGTCCTCCAAGTACATGCTTTTTTTTAAATCCTGATTTTTGCCTAACTTTGATGCAGGTGGATGCTTCTTTATCTTTTCTGGATGGTTTTGTGGCTGAAGGGCTCAGTAAGGGAGCAGCACCTTACAAGCCCCATCACCAGCGCCAAGAGGAACGGCTTTCTCAGGAAAAAGGTGTATTTTCATCATCTAGTGGATTAAGGGGCATGTTGTTTGGTTGGTTGGTTTGTTTGGGTTTAGTTTTTGTTGTTACTGAGACAGGCTGTGCTCACGGTGTAGCACAGGCTGGGGAGACCTCCAGGTCCTTTAGCCTCAGGCTGCCAGATGCTGGATTACAGGTGTGTTCCAACACACCTGGCTCAGGGCTTAGCTTTTAGAAATGTGCAGTTGATACCATAGCCATGAAAGGAGGTGATTACAGATATTTATCTGTGGCTTTTCATTAAATCTGTTTTTTGTCCTAACTCAGGGGAAAGGTTAGCCTCAAAGTATTCCCAAAGCCATAGGCTCCATTCGCATGGGTGCCCAAGAGACGACTACCACTCTAGAGTTTTGGAAGAATCTGTGTCATGCTAGTCACTGTACTGCAGCTTTGGCTGGCCTGGAACTCATAGCGATCCACCTGTCTCTGCCTCCAGAGTGCTGGGATTAAAGGCGTGTGCCACCACACCTGGTGAAGGCTGACACTGAATAAATAGTGTGAACGTATCTAGAAAGGTTCCAGAAACAACCCTGGTCACTGTGGGCGAGTGACTCATTGTCACTGTGGATGGTCTAGTGTATTAGATTGTTTCTCTAGCAGAGTATCTGATTAATGATGTCACAAGGAGCTCATAAAGGCAAGAACTTTATATTTCAGAAGCATAGCCTGTGAGGGGGTCTTTTACCGTGACCTTAGTGAAGAGGAGACCACCGGGTCATTTGCATGTTACCTGGGAATTACTCCTGTGAAATAGGGGGAGCCCCCATCTCACACACCTGTTTGGATGATGAATCTTCCAGTTTTCACCATCCCGCTCCTTTCTCACTCTTACTTGTTGTAGTTTACTGATAGTCACAGCTCTGCATACTCTGTGTGACACTTGTTGCATCCCCTTGTATCTGAAGAGGTAGATTGGCCAGTTATAGTTATGTTTATCTAATTGTTGTTTTTAATGAGGTCTTACAAAAAGCATATGGTTACTGTTGTCTCCCAGGGTTGATGTTAGCTTTGTAATTATGAGAACTCCAGATTCCCTCCCTTGTTGTTCTGACATCTCTGCTGTTTCACTGTATGATTCAAGATGGCTGCTTGCACTTCAGCAACCAACCACAGTGTGACCAGCAGGGGAAAGGAAATGGGGGAAGAGAATTTCTTTGCAGAGACTTCCCCAGATGTTGCACTCAAAATGTGTGTATAATTTAATTGACCAGAAGTCATATGGCAGCAGAATCTAGAAACATCTCCTCTGACTGCCTGTGTACCTACTGGAGAATTCTGCTACTTAAAAGAAAGGGGAATGGATATTTGGCATCTGCTCTGCTACAATAGTAATAGGAATTTCCTGGTTCTGGTTGAATTTATTTAAATTATATACATATTAAAAAGAATTAGCACGTGACTGAGTAAACATTGTTTTTTTTATTCCCATTGAGGGCACCGTCCACTCTTAGGTAAAGATGTGTCCAGCAATCATTCACTACGCAGAACATGGCCATCACCTCACCTTTGCTCATTGCATTCTTTTATTTTCTTAGAATAGCAGCAACTTCTCAATATGCCTGCTTTGTTTTTATTATTTGCCTTTTCCTTTCTCTCTCTTTCTTTCCTTCCTTTCTTCTTTCTCTTTTTCCAGACAGGGTTTCTCTGTGTAGCTTTGGAGCCTGTCCTGGAACTCACTTTGTGGAACAGGCTGGCCTCAAACTCACAGAGATCCCCCTGCCTCTGCCTCCCGAGTGCTGGGATTAAAGGCGTGTACCACCACCGCCTGGCTCTTCCTTCCTTCCTTCCTTCCTTCCTTCCTTCCTTCCTTCCTTCCTTCCTTCCTTCCTTCCTTCCTTCCTTCTTTCCTCTTTCTTTTCTTCTCCTCCTCCTCCTCCTCTCTCTCTCTCTCTCTCTCTCTCTCTCTCTCTCTCTCTCTCTCTCTCTCTTTTTTTTTCCAAGACAGGGTTTGTCTGTGTAGCCCTGGCTGTCCTAGAACTCACTCTGTAGACCAGGCTGGCCTCAAACTCACAGAGATTCTCCTGCCTCTGCCTCCCCAAGTGCTGGGGTTTAAGGTGTGCGCCACCACTGCTCAGCTTATTTGCCTTTTCTAATTGAATTCTTTTTTAACTTTCTAGGAGAGATAAAAGGGTAAAAATGAAAGATAGTTTCTCTCTGATTGCCCTAGTATATGCAGACTTAAATCAGTGGCAGCTGCTTTACTCTGACTGTACATGTCTGATTAGATTGTTGGATTCCAGCCTTTTAATTATTTCAGTAGTGAATGGAATCTCATAAATTTCACTGTTATGCTTTGTTTTAAATATGAACCTCTGTTCCTGTTTTTAAATTATAGTTCTCAATTTTGAACCCTACGGACTGTCGTTTTCTTCATCTGGTTTCACTGGACGGCAGTCTCCTGCTGGCATTTCTCTGGGCTCAGATATATCAGGAAACAGTGCTGAAACGGGACTGAAAGAGTAAGTTCCTTGGCGAAGTTGAGAGTTAGTGAGCTTGACCACCTCCAGCCTCCTGCCTGCCTTCGGCCTCTGCTTGTGTCCTTGGGATTCTTATTTGCTCACTTTAGGATGACTTCTAAGAAGTTTTCATTTTCAAATAATGAAAAAGAAGAGACATATTTATGACTGTGTTTAATATCATTGTCCCTAATAATACCTTTGTTCCTGAGAGCTACATTCTACATGAGATTTTGTTTCACTTGCTTCTATTGATTGGTTTCAAGATTCTGATGCTATATATTTTGTCTTAGACTTTAAGAGCTTATCTACAATATCTCTGTGAGTTCGAGGCCCACCTGGGCTACAGAGTTCCAGGAAAGGCGCAAAGCTACACAGAGAAACCCTGTCTTGAAAAAAAAAAAAAAGAGCTTATCGGCCTCCTTCCAGACACCATAAGCCATGTATAATATTTGCACATGAGGTCTGGAGAGGTGGCCCAGCAGTTTAGAGCCTGTATTGCTCTTGCAGAGGATCAGTTCCCAGCACCCACATCAGACAGCTCACAAGTGCCGGTACTCTAGGGAATCCGATGCTCTTCTAGCCTCTATAGGCACCCATGTGCATGTGCTCATACACATAGACACACATACATATTAATTAAAAATAATAAACAGGTTTGCACATAGCGTATATTATGACCACATTATAAAATTTGAAGAAGCATATTGGAACTTATATACCAGATAAGTATTAAGCATAGTCTTCATTCCTTATTACTTATGTCATGCTCTGGAAAATATTTTTTGTAATCACCTTATGAGAAGAGTGACAGATACCAAGACGAGGATGTCTAAGGTAGCTCTATTCTTTGCTCAGAATACTTTCAGAGCTCTGGGGAGAGAACTTAGCACTTGCTATGCAAGCATGAGGACCTGGGTTCAAATCCCAGCACCACAGCTCACAGCTGTCCATAGCTCCAGCTCCAGAGTGGCTGACCCCCTCACACAGACATATGCAAGCGAAACACCAATGCACATCAAATAAAAATAAATGATTATATCTTTATAAAAACTGATAGATGAAAACATTTGACTTGTCCTCTGGCCTCTACATGGCATGTGAATGAGAGCACACTCTAACACACTGATGTGCATGACCCCACCAAATGTTTTCAGGGATTCTTTGGCCACCTTGAAAATTGCTAACACCGTTGCATATGTATTTGGGCCCAATTTTCATTCTGTAATACTTTAATGTTTGTGATATAACTAAATTATTTTCAGAAGCATATTGAAATTAATAAAGTGAGATAGTGTAATGAAGGACACAGTGCAACCCAGCACACACTAATTGCTGCTGTCATCATTCTCATGCTACATTTACCAAGTAAAGCTAGTGTACTGATGTGATGCTAAGTAATGAAAACGGCGTTCTCCTTTGTCAATGAGCTTATTTAAAGAAGTCAAGGGATAATGGGGGATGCAGCTCACTGGTAGTGTGCTCACCTAGAATGCATGAGAGCATAATACAGATATGGTGAACAAAGAAGGGTTTGGTGAATTAAACGGCAGTTCTAATTCTGTTTTTATCCTTTCCCTCCTTGGTCTAACATCCTTAATTTCTTTCCTAAACATTTAATTTTGGCATCCAGGCGTGGTTGGTGGGTTGGTGATGGTAGAAGTAATGGCTGTTAGGTGTCTCAAACGGAACAAAGCCACAATTAGGGATGGAGGTCCTCCAGACCCAGGGAGAAAGTCTACAGAATAAACAGTGTTCAGGGTGTGAGAGGCTGGTCTGATGAGTTCTATGCCATATGTCCATTTTATGTGCTTTATTACTTAAATAGAATATGAAGGGTGGATGGAAGTTTTCAAAGAAGATCACAGTTCACACATTATTTCAGATTAGGAACTTGTGTGGTAACTGGTAAAGTGAATGTTGAAGATCAGATAATAACCATTAGAGAGGCTAGTGAAAGTGAAGCACTTTAAATATACAGTTCTGCACCCGCACAGGGAAAGGCAAAATGGCTGCTGCACTAATTAGGCCCAAGACAGTGGTTTTTAAAGTCCCAGTGTTAAGTAACACTGGCTGCTCTTCCAGAGGTCCTGATCAATTCACAGCACCCACATGGCAGCTCACAACCCTCTGTGGGATCCAATGGCCTCTTCTGGTGTACAGATATACATGCAAACAAAACACCAATATACATAAAATAAATAAATCTTTTTAAAAAGTTTTTAAAGAAAGTTCCGATTGAGAGAAATCCTGTCTTCCCATAGGCTAGGACTTGCCCCTTCTCAAATTCCCCATCTCATTGGTTTAGGGCACAAAGCCTAATCTAATGAATAATTTGGAACCTGAGACTCCTTTCTCTGGCTATGGACTCAGTCACACAGCCTGGACTTTCCACCTTTAGAGTTCTGAGGCAAGCAGGCCCCAGAACTGGTTCCTCCTGCTGCTCTGGAACTAAGTGCTAAGCGTATCTTACACTGAAAATGGACGTAACGATTGATTTTTTTACAGTGAATCAGTTTTAAGATGAGACAGTTGCTCTCCTTCTACAGTCCCTGGTAAGCTGAGAATAAAGTCAAGACCAATTTAGAATTTCTTTTTTCTTCTGATTTTTCAAAACAGGGTTTCTCTGTGTAACAGTCCTGACTGTCCTGGAACTTGCTTTGTAAATCAGGCTGGCCTCAAACTCACTGAGATCTACCTGCCTCTGCCTCCCGAGTGCTGGGGTTAAAGTTGTGCGCCACCAATGCCTGGCCTGATATATAGGTTTTTAATAAGAGTGATAGAGGTGATCTTGGACTGTTTCAGTCAGTACTGATGACTATATTAGTCACTGTGAACTCGTGGACTCATAGCTGTAACTTTGGTGACATCATGTGAATCCATATTCTGTTTAAATTTTTAAAAAGTTTTATGTGTATGGATGATTTTTCTGAGTGTATGTTTATGTATTGTGCCTATGCCTGGTGCCTGCAGATGCCAGAAGAGGATATTGGATCCTCTGAAACTGGAGTCACAGGCAATTATGAGCCACCATGTGGGTGCTGGGAATTGAACCTGGGTCGTCTGGAAGATCAGCCAGTGCTCTTAACCACTAAGCTACCTGTCTAGCCCCTGAATTCACTTGCTTAATTTGATCCTAGATTTTTTTTTGTTTATTTTATTTATTTATTTTGCCTATATGTCTCATCTTGGGATTTTTGGGCTGAGCACCTGCCTTCTAACCAGTACTTTAAAAAACTCAGCTACTAAAAAGTTTCTGGGGGTGGTGAGGTGGCCCAGTGGGTTGAGGCACTTGTTACCATGCCTGATGACCTGAGTCCCATCCCCATGACCCATATGGTAGCTATGTTCCCATATACACAAAATATGTAAGTCATGTAATTAAAAATTCTGGGCCATTCAGTTGTCTTTGCGGGTAAAAGTACCTGTATTCAAACCCAACAGCCTAAGTTCAATCTCCAGGCCCCATGTGGTATAAGGAGAGAACTGATTCCTGCAAGTTATCTTCTGACCTCTACACATGGGCTGTGGCATCTAAATAAAACATACATACATACATACATACATGCATATATACATACATACATAAATGTAATAAAAAGTACAAAGAAGAGTTTCTAAGCCTCTTTTCCAAGCTAATCTTTATATCATTTTCATAAAGATTGAACATGTAGTGGTTTTTGTTTTGTTTTTGGTTTTTCGAGACAGGGTTTCTCTGTGTAGCTTTGGTGCCTGTCCTGGCTCTCACTCCATAGACCAGGCTAGCCTCAAACTTACAGAGATCTGCCTGGTTCTGCCTCCCAAGGGCTGGGATTAAAGGTGTGCACCACCACTGCCCAGCTCAAACATGTAGCTAATGCTCACATTAATAAAACATTTTGTATTAACAAGTCTATATATTGGTGCATATGTGAATATTTTGCTTTCAGTGGATTTTAAGATGAATTTGTGCTTATGAATTGTTATTTTATGATTGAGGTTGGATCTCATGTGGCTGAGATCTTATATCTTGGGCCATCAGAGTTAAAGGTCAAGGTGTCTTAGAACAGCAAGTAGAGGAACGGGTCCACAGCCCTTCTCTTCTTCTGTAACTCACTCAAGTAATTAAGTGAAAATTAAATGGTCTGAGATTTTAACCAGATCTAGAGTTCTGGTGCTTTAAATTATTTTGCTAGAGGGAAGGAGGAAGTTGGCTGTAATGAAAATACATTTTAAAAATCTAGGTTTCCTCTGGCCTATAAAATTAAATGAGAGCTGTTTTTTTTTTTTTTTTTTTTTTTTTTTTGGTTTTTCGAGACAGGGTTTCTCTGTGTAGCTTTGCGCCTGTCCTGGAACTCACTTGGTAGCCCAGACTGGCCTCGAACTCATAGAGATCCGCCTGGCTCTGCCTCCCTAGTGCTGGGATTAAAGGCGTGCGCCACCACCGCCCGGCTGAGAGCTGTTTTTTAAAAGGCCATAGCAAAATGTGTTTTGAAAAAAAAAATACATCAAGGATCTACCTAGTCAGCAATCATTTAAACTGACTTTCTTCCTTAATCTCCTTAGGACAAGTAGCCTGAAGCTGGAAGGCGTAAAGAAACTATGGGGCAAAGAGGGCTATCTCCCCAAAAAGGAGAGTGGAACTGGGGATAAGTCCGAAGTGCCGCATGTTCCTGGAGAGGGTGCCACCACGGAGAATGTAGACCAAGCCACAACCAGGAAGGACCAAGCTCAAGGCCTTGTCCAGTCTACAGAGGAGAAAGAAAGGCAGCTGTTGGCCTCCTCATTATTTGTTGGGCTTGGACCAGAAAATACAATCAATTTGGTAAGTTATCTGTTACTTTCCTATAAGATTCTCTGCTCTCTGCTGGAAGCAAGAACTGGATTTCATCTACACATGGTGGGAATGCCTCCTATAGCTCTCATAGCCATCGTCTTCCAGCTCTAGGGCTATGAGTGACATAGTTTTTTGTTCTTGTTTTTCAAGACAGGGTTTCTCTGTGTAGCTTTGGAGCCTGTCCTGAAACTTGATCTGTAGACCAGGCTGGCCTCGAACTCACAGAGATCCGCCTGGCTCTGCCTCCCAAGTGCTGGGATTAAAGGGGTGCACCACCGCCTGTCAAGTGACATAGTTTCTTCTTTTTTCTTTCTTTTTTTTTTTGACACAGTTTTTATACCACTGAAGTGAGAACATCTATTCGCCTTGAACAAGTTATTCTCTGAGTCTAGTCTGCTAACACAGGACCAGGGTCCACACAAACTAACAAGAATGACGAGGGTGGATGAGAGAATTCTCGAGGGCAAGGGACTTGATTGAAGATTGTCAGTAATAGTGGTCTGTCTGTGGGCTCTGCTGACGTGGATCTGGTCAGACTGTTCTTCAGTTAGATTAGTAGTGGCACATTTGGTAACCATCACTAGTTATGGAATGTTTTCCTGCTGTTTTTCCCTGGTCAGCTCCTGACTAGTTTTTCTTCTCTGCTTACTAACAGGCCATGAAATCACAATTATTATAATTATCACAAAGATTATTAAAACACACATTAGGTCCTCTTTGTGGTCAGGGGTAACTTAGGATTCTATAAGACAGCTCTGGAAAGAAAAGCATAGCTAGGCTGTCCAATTTTGTAATGTAGTAAAGGATACCAAACAGCAGTTTTTAAACTACTACAACTAAGTTTTGACCTTGTTTTATTTCCTTTTCTAAGGAAATGGTTTTTTAAAGTGTTGTTTTGTGTGTTTGTTTTTTGTTTTTGTTTTTTCAAGACAGGGTTTCTCTGTGTAGCCCTGGCTATACTGGAACTCACTCACTCTGTAGACCAGGCCGGCCTTGATCACAGAGATTGACTGCCTTTGCCCCCTGCATGCTGGGATTAAAGGTGTGTGCCACCATGCCAGGCAATTTGTTTTTTAAATCAGAAGTAAAATTTAGCTGATAGCTTTAAGAATTTTAGGGTTTTACATTTTATTCATCTGAGTTTTGCCAATCTTTGCTTTACAGATTCTGAGTGTTAATATATTGTTCATTTGAAATTATAGAAGATATTTAAAGCTCATGACTAGTAAAATAGTGTTTTATATTATTATATTTTATTTTTGCAGTTGGGAAAAGCAGATGTCGTGTCTCACAAGTTCAGGAGGAAATCAAAATTCAAAGTAGCCCAAAATGACAAGACACCCAGTGCTCCTAACCCTACCTCCTCCACCTTTAGCTCTGTATCAGCCGTGGCCCACGGGGATGATGACTGTCTGAATACTTTAGGTAGAGGAGACACTGAACTCAGTCCAGAGCTGTTGGGTTCCGAGTCTCTCTCGGAGCTGCCCTCAGTGGACAAACTCTCGAGTGTCAGCTTGCCTGCACCCTCTTTGTTTGCTGACAACATGGAAGTTTTCCACCCCTCTTCATCCTCTGCAGCTCCAGCTGTCAAGGAAATCCATTTAGCTTCTTCGTTGGAAGAAACTCCTGAGTGTGGGCGTTCAAGTCTCATGGAAATCTGTAGTAATGACACAGTGTCTGTGTCTTCTTACAAAATCTGGAAGGATGATTGTTTATTGATGATCTGGTCACTCACTAGTAAGACTGATTCAGAATTGACAAATGCTAAGTTAGAAATTTTTCCTGTGGAAAACTTCAAGGTAAGACAATGAATAATTTCTCTTTTCTGCCTTAGTAAAGCTTACTTAGTGTTTCTGCCTTTGCCTCCAATACCGTATGAATTTGTTCCATATCCTCCTTTCTTCCTTAAAACAGGACTCAGGCCAGGCGGTGGTGGCGCACTCCTTTAATCCCAGCATTCAGGAGGCAGAGCCAGGTTGATCTCTGTGAGTTCGAGGCCAGCCTGGTCTACAGAGTGAGTTCCAGGATAGGCTCCAAAAGCTACACAGAGAAACCCTGTCTCGAAAAACCAAAAAACAAAAAACAAAAAACCAAACCAAAACAAAAACTACCAGGACTCAGGATACATTACTCTAAAGAAACAAAGGAAGCCTAATAATAATGTATTTGAGAAGGCCGTAGATAATATACAAAGTGAGTTTCTGTGGAGCATAATGAAGAAGGTAGTTGGTGCACACCTTTAAACCCAGCACTTAGAAACAGAGGCAGGAGAATCTCTGTGAGTTCCAGGACAGCCAGAGCTACAAAGTGAGCCCTTGTCTCAAAACCCCGAAACCAACCAAAGAACACAGCTTCTCACACTGCTTTGGTGTTGATCTCGCTCCTGTGCCGTACCTGCCATGTTCCATGGTCAGGTTTCTTAGCTGCTTTGACCTGTTTCTTCCTGTTGAAAGCAAGGGTCTCAACATCGTGTTCCTGTAAAGAATTCACTGGTTGATAGCTGCAGCATGCTGATAGCATTCAGTGCATATCCTGTGTTCCGTATTTCTTGGTATTTCTATGATCTCTCTTCATGCATTCTCTAAGTGCTGTCTTTACTCTTGTCATATTCACTGAAATTAACACTTCAGATTATTCAACAGAGTCAAATAGAGCATTAAGAAGAAAAAAGAATATGAAGGGGTAAACATATACTGATTTCTTTTTTTCTTTTCTTTTTTATTTTTCGAGACAGGGTTTCTCTGTGTAGTTTTGCTGCCTGTCCTGGATCTTGCTCTGTAGACCAGGCTGGCCTCGAATTCACAGAGATCCACCTGGCTCTGCCTCCCGAGTGCTCAGATCAAAGGCGTGCACCACCACCACCCGGCCTCTCTGATTTCTTGTTTTATACTCAGTACTTGGGCATCATTCTCTTCCACAACTCCAAAAGAGTGCTATATGGTGACTTCTGAAAGTTTGTTGACTGCATTTTTATAAGTGTTCTTGCCACAGTTGTGACTTTTGACAGGCAGGTGTCAGAAAGCTAGCCACATTTTTGTTTTTTGTTTTGTTTTGTTTTTGGGTTTTTCGAGACAGAGTTTCTCTGTGTGGCTTTTGGAGCCTATCATGGAACTCGCTCTGTAGACCAGGCTGGCCTTAAACTCACAGAGGTCTGCCTGCTTTTGCCTTCCGAGTGCTGGGATTAAAGGCATGCGCCACCACCACCCGGCAAGCTAGCCATTTTTTTCTGTGAGCTACAGTATATTGAATGAGATAGTGTATGGGCCATTGACCAGGGCAGGAATTCTTGAATACATACATATAGCAGATTTACTTGCAGAACTTTAAAAAACAAACAAAATCTGTCTGAATTGTACCAGTAGAGTTGAGTAGAATTAGAGAGAGAGAAGGGAAGGCAGCCGTATGATTGTTATAAATCGGGTGGTAGCTAGGTGGTGGTAGCGCACGCCTTTAATCCCAACCTTTGGGAGGCAGAGGCAGGCAGATCTCTGTGAGTTCCAGGCCAGCCTGGTCGAGTTCCAGTGGGAGCTACATTGACAAACCCTGTCTCAAAAAACAAAACAAAGAAAGAAAAAGAAGAAGAGGAGGAGGAAGAGAAGAAGAAGGTTGAGTGGTAGGAGCCATGGAAGAGTGCTTGCCTAGCACATAATAGACACTGGGTTCAGTTCCCCAGCACTGTGCATGCAAGAGTTCTGGTGCCAGATTAGAATTTAATAACCTTTAAAATATATAAGCTACCTTTAGCTAGAATACTAATCTGTTACATAATTTTGAACTATACAGTATTACTTATCTGTTTTAGTGATTTTTTTTTTTTTTTTTTTTTTTTTGGTTTTGGTTTTGGTTTTGGTTGTTGAAGGTTGAGTTTCTTCTGTGTAGCCTTGGCTGTCCCGGAATTCACTCTGTAGACCAGACATTCACTAAACATGAATTTTTGTTAGTTTTCATAATGTAGTTTGTCAATTTCCCACATTTGTGTGCTTTAGTACTTGCCGCTTAAATAGAAGTTTGTTATCCATATAACAGTATATTGACGCTTACTTCAGGATTTTTATTACTTTCATTTACAGATTATTGAGCAACCTGGATGCTGTTTGCCTGGGGTGGAAACAGAAAGCACCAAATCCTTTCAGTATGGTGTGCAGATGGAAAGCCCATCTGTAGAGGGGACTCTCTCTGGTTTTATAAATTATCAGATGATGGATACACATTCTGTTCGGTTGGAATTTTCCATGAACTTATCATTATTAGATTTTATTAGGTAAATATTTTCTGGCATGTTATTTCTGGCAGAAAATAAATTCTTCTGTATCTTTAAATGTAGGACTTTTTAACTATACAATCAATATGTATTTATCATGGAAATTCAAATGTTATAAAAATATAAATAGAATATAAAAGTTGTCTATAATTCACCCCCTAGATGTTCCTGGCATTCATATAACATAATTATTTAAGTGTGTGTGTGTGTGTGTGTGTGTGTGTGTGTGTGTGTGTGTATGTGTATGTATGTATGTATGTGTGTGTGTGTGTGTGTGTGTGTGTTGATAGAGTCTTAATACTTAGGCTAATTTATTTAAAGTTCTTTATATTGATTCTCTTGTGTATCACTTTGACAGAAATTTCATTATTCCCCAAATCCAAAGTACATATGACAGAATAGTTTATACTGAGAATTTCTGAAGTTATTTGGTAAAATCCTGTTGGAGGATTAATATCTAAAAAGAGACAAAATTGAATGAATTATTGAAAGGAAAAGTTCAGTTTACTATCTTCTGCCGCAATAACTTTATCAGGTGGGAAGGTAACTCAGAATTCTCATCATACCTGGTTTAAAAGCATAAATGTCGCCGGGCGGTGGTGGCGCACGCCTTTAATCCCAGCACTCGGGAGGCAGAGCCAGGCGGATCTCTGTGAGTTCGAGGCCAGCCTGGTCTCCAAAGCGAGTTCCAGGAAAGGCGCAAAGCTACACAGAGAAACCCTGTCTCGAAAAACCAAAAAAAAAAAAAAAAAAAAGCATAAATGTCTTGGGACCCAGATTTATAATGAATATATTTCATTTCTGTGAGTCATGTGGAATGTGTTTGTTCAGCATCATTATATTCTTAACAACATAAACTAATTTTTAAAATTATTTTCAGACCATTAAAGATCTCAACTGAAGACTTTGGCAAACTCTGGTTATCCTTTGCAAATGATGTGAAGCAAACTATAAAAATATCAGAGTCGCAAGTCGCTTTGGCTTCTGTCCTAACAGAACTGCAGCAGAAACTGAGACTTCATGTGATTGACGTCATAGGTGTGTAGAATTAGGAAAAGGCAGCCCCATGTGAATATGGGTTTTCTTCCGGTGACATCCTTCTTAGAGCTATGCTTCTTATCACATGTTACCTTTAAGATAAGTGTGTTTTCCAGACTGTACTAAAGAATATTTGATTGAACAATCCATAGTGTATAATTAACTATCATTTAGCTTTTGTTTTTCTTTTGGACACTTGAAACATTTCTCCATTTGCATGGAGTAGGCCTCAGATCAAACTAGAAAGTGGTTGGTGACTCTCAAAATAGTCCTGTTTCTGTTGCATCAGAAGACACATCTAGCCTGGCAGGTCAATATTGTAGGATTCAGTGTCCACACTGGTTAAGGTCATTGATGCCTTTCCTCCCCCACCATCCTGCATGGAGTCAGTCTTCTTGCACATTGATTGCTAGCCACCAAGGAGCAAGCTTCCAGACCAGTTTCAGCTTTATCAGTTTGAGACACTCAATGGGTGTGGTATCTCCAAATAGTCTTACTGCCTAGTTGTAGTGAGTTCTCAAAAGCAGTATTATCAACCTCCATTGCTTTGGGAGCCTCTGGAGCCTCCTGGTCAACAGTTGCTGTACTAATATTCTACACCTGGCATTTGGGTTTAGAACCACATGGCATCGAGGAACAGAATTCTCCATCTTTGCAGGGTACCTCTGTTCCAGGTTTTTAAGAAAATTATCATGCTAGGCGTGGTGGTGCACTACTTTAATCCCAGCACCTATGTGTTGGGGGTTGGTGTGTGTGGCAGGGCAGGTGGATCTCTGAGTTCAAGGCCAGCCTGGTCTACAGAGCTAGTTCCAGGATGGTCAGGGTGGTCATATGGAGGAACTCTGTTTTTAAAAAAAGGAAAGAAGCCGGGCGGTGGTGACGCACGCCTTTAATCCCAGCACTCGGGAGGCAGAGCCAGGTGGATCTCTGTGAGTTCGAGGCCAGCCTGGTCCCCAAAGCGAGTACCAGGAAAGGCGCAAAGCTACACAGAGAAACCCTGTCTCAAAAAAAAAAAAAAAAAGGAAGAAAGAAAAAGAAAATCGTATCTTTTAGTTTGCTTATAAAGCAGTAGGTTTCTATGGTTTTTTTTTTTTTTTTCTTGTAACATTAATTTTGTTTAGCCTTAGCCATTCTGGCTGGGGTAAGATAAAATCTGAAAGAAGTTTTAATTGATGACTAAAGATATTAAACATTAAATTTTGTATTTCTCAGCCATGTGTATTTTTTTTATAAGGACTCTATATTTAGTTCTGTGTTCCAATTTTTAATTGGTTTATTTGTTTTCTTGGTCTCTCTTTTTTTTTTTTAGTTCTTTGTGTATTCTAGAAAGCAACAATCTCCAGATAAGTTTTTTTTTTTACCTAGTCTATAGGTTGCCTCTTCACTCGATTGATGGTGTTCTTTGCTGTACAGAAGCGTTTTACTTTTATGTAGTCCCTCTGGCCAATTTTTGTTCTTAATGCCTGGGCTGCAGAGGCCCTGCTCAGGAAGTCCTTTTCTGACTTACGTGTTCAGGTGTATTTCCTACTTTCTTCTCTGTCACCTTAAGGCTATCAGGTCTTATGTTGAAATCCTTGATGCATTTAGAGTTGAGTTTTGTGCAAGTCTGTAGTGAGGATCTGGTTCATTCTTTTACTAGTAGCTGTCATTGAGACCAGCGCCATCTGTTAAACATACTGTATATTCTCCAATATGTATTTTTGGCTTCTTTGTCAAAAATTAGGGGACTGTACGAACATGGCTTATTTCTGGGTCCTCAGTTCTGTTCTTTTGATGTGTCTGTTTTTATGGTAGTGTCGTGCTGTTGGTGAGAGTAGAATATTGAAGTCACTGTGTCGGGTTTAATCTGTGATTACAGATTTAGTAGTTGTTCTTTTATCAAATGGGATGCAGCTGTGTTTGGTGGATGTATGTTTAGACTTGTGCTGGCTGCTTGCTGGCTTGTTCCTTTCATAGGTATAAAGTGACCCTGTCGGTTCTGACTAGTTATTGTGTTATTAGTATATGTTCAACTGTATACAGTATCGTATACTACTATTTGACATTATTATTATTATGTATCTTATTATAGTATGCTATTAGCCTGTTACCAAGCACATGGGGCACTTCCACTTTTTGTCTGATATTGACAGTGCTGCTGTGGACATGAATGTCGATATTCTTGCTCTCAGTTCTTCTGAGCATACACTCAAAGTGGAATTACTGAATCATATGTTGGTTGTTTTTTTTTTATAAATCACTAGATCATTTATATAGCAAAAGTATCTTTTTTACATTAGTAAGCAAGAGTTCATATCTGTCCACATCTTCAGCAGTACTGCTTTTTAAAATATATATAAAATAGTCTTCCAAACAAGTATGAAATGCTGTCTCTTTTTTTTTTTTTTTTTTTTTTTTTTTTTTTGGTTTTTTTGAGACAGGGTTTCTCTGTGTAGCTTTGCGCCTTTCCTGGAACTCGCTTTGGAGACCAGGCTGGCCTCGAACTCACAGAGATCCACCTGCCTCTGCCTCCCAAGTGCTAGGATCAAAGGCGTGCGCCACCACCGCCCGGCTGAAATGCTGTCTCTTAAGTTTGATTGTCATTTCTCTGGTGATTGATGACAAGCATCTCGTCATGTGCTTTGGGCCCATTTGTAGATACTCTTTGGATGTCTTTTGAAGTCTGGTTCATCACGTAACCTTACCGTATGTTCTGTTGCAGGCAATGAAGGGCTGTTGGCATGTAAGCTGCTGCCGTCAACCCCCTGTGTCCTGCACTGCCGAGCGCACGGTGACGCAGTCGCCCTGTGGTTCCGCTCCTCCTGCTCTGTGCTTTCTGACTATTTATCCTGTCACTGTCAAAAGCTGATGGAGACATCCTAGCAAAGCTCTGTTCAGTCTTACTTTTTCACATAAGTGGTTTACATTTATAAACTTACCAAAGTAAAAAGAACTCATGGTACTTCTGATGAAAATGGGGATTATTGTAAGTTTTGGTTTATGTTTTTTTCTTCTTGATTTCTGATAAGAATGATCCCCCAAGAAACTGTGTCACTAATTTTTTTACTCAGGATTGTACAGTATGTTTGGGTCCCCCCAAATGACCTGAGCTAATGTTATAAAATGCTAATGATATTTGTATATCACTGAATGTGGAGGGACTGAAGATATTTATTTTGTTATAAATGTTTTATAGCAGGTTTATTCTAGCACTAACTGATTTCTAATAAAGCCGGGACTCAGTTCTCTGCACTGATGCAGGCAGCACCTGAGATTGGCTTTGGAATGCGGTGTTGGTTGTGGGAAACTTGGTGCTCTCAGTTATGTTTTTGCTTAGGTCAGCCTTACTCAGATGGCCTAGCCTAGACTAACGGTTGCAGGAGATCCGTGAGCATGCTGGGTATGGGCAGATCCAATCTGCGCTTTTTTACTTTTTAACTTGTTATACTTAATTTTAAGTGATTTGGCCGTAAAGTATGTCTGTTTGCTATTAGATCCTTTTGGCAATTAAATTTTGTGACCATAATATAAATGGCCAATTGACTTTTCCTGGCTCTTAAAACTACTAGTATTCAGTGGATGTAGCTGCAGTAGTAACCATGTAAATATATCGTTTTCATGTTATATTTGTGCATATACGGCCTCTCTGTTAGTAAAAGAAGATGTTGTGCCTAGTATGTATGATGGGCCAAAATCTTGAGATTGTCTATTAACTGAAATAGTATTTTATAAAAAACTTATGGTGCTGTGGGAAATATTTATTTTACCCTTTCTGGTACTTCACCATTGAAACTATTCAGGTAATACAACCTTTAAGTCATTATATTAACTAGCTCATAGGACTGGTTATCACCCAGATCAGGCACTCTGGTTTTAGGTTGTCTCAATACTTGCCGATAACGATGCTAAGAGTATTCTACGGAGCTAGGAGATCTCAGTCATCTGTAGTTAGAGCAAAACAAAAGTAGTATTTTTTAATTAATTTTTAGGTTATTCATTTTAAAATGTAATATTTTGTTAATTTCTCTTTAAAAACATGCAGTTAGCTGGGCAGTGGTGGCACACACCTTTAATCTCAGCACTTGGGAGGCAGAAGCAGTAGGAGGTCTGAGTTCAAGGGCAGCCTGGTCTACAGAGCAAGTTCCAGGACAGCCAAAGCTACACAGAGAAACCCTGTCTTGAACCCCCCTCCCCCCCAAAAAAAACCCACAATAAATAAATAAATAAATAAATAAATAAATAATAAATAAATAAATAAATAGAAGATGTGCAGTTAAACCTTGCCAAAAGAGCAGGTGACTAGTATTTCCTGCACGTCTGGTTTCTCCCTTTGAGTAGAAAGCCTGAGGCGTGATCAGACTCAGCACTTTGATGGTGAAGGGATTCTGAAGCAGCCAGCTTCATTAACTTCCCTTTATTGTTGCCTTTCAGCAGCCATGCCTGCTCCTTAGCCTCACTCTCACCTGGACAGAACAGGGCAGCGTTTGGTCTAGCAGATTCTCCTTCTTGGTGTATTCTTCATGTGGCCATTGAGGTTGGGTCAGGTATGGAGCAGTGTGAGTAAGGTATCTAAAATCACAGGGACAGCTGTCTAAAGAGATCATAGTTTTGTTTTGTTTCTGCTGCTTTGTTACCAGGTATGTTCAGAGAGCAGCAGTGATTGTCACAAGATATGCTTGGCCACAGAGCTGTCTAATAGTGCATGTGTAATGGTAGGTTTGAGGTTCAGGTATAATTTAGATCTGCCAAAGGGAACATAGTGTCACTTTTGAACTCAGTAAATACGATGTAAGGTAACAGGGTTTCTGCTGTAATGTTTAATATGATGTTTACAACGGTTTTGATTTGAAAACTAATAATAGAAAAGAGTATATATTTAAAAACTTTGGACCAGTATAGAGTCTATCTAAACTCATTGAATTATGTTGTGAATCAGGCATTATCAGCCTTTTTGCATTGTAGAGATATGATCATAAAGTAGGGAGAATTTTAGATCTAGTCTCTTTACTTTATAATCACAATTCAGCCAATGTGGGTAACACTTGGGAGAAGGTGGACTAGCTCTTTGTGCTAGGATGGGGTGGCAGCAGGTACGAGGCTAGAGACAAATACAGGAAAACAGGAAGAGCTGGAAGGAAGTAGCCAGGCTCCCCAAGAATCATCCCCAGGAGATCAGCAGAAAGGCTCCTCGGGGTGTGAGAGGACCCTGTGTTAGTCCTGCTGGAGAAACTGTAGGAGAAGCTGAGCAGTTAAAGAGCGCTCATGTGCCAAGCTTGCCAAACACAGCATATGCTCTGCAGGTGAGTGTTAACATTCTTCCAAAAGCTCTTCCAAATTGACTGTGTGAAAGTGCAGTATTTTCATTTCATTTTACTGTCTTCCATCTTATTTTCTGTGGATAAACATGGTCTTTGTCGCATGGTGACCCACTAGAAGTGCACTGAATCTCCTCATGTGTCTTTAAGCTGTTTTCCTCGTCAGGATTTTAGGAGAGAGTGAATAATAACTTAATATGCATTTTTTTTACTTTGTTTTGGCATTGAACTCTGTAATTTTAAAAACTTCAATTGAATGTATAATAAAAATGTATCTATGCTTTTTTGGGTCTATTTCTTCTTTATAATTTAAGTATATGAAAATTATTTAATCAATATATCTATATATTCCTAAATATATAAAAACAACTTTCTTAGTCTGTATAATGTTACTTGTATGTATGCTTTTGCATGTGTGTTGTATGTACATGTTTGTGTGGCTATGAGTGTATAATCATATAAGTGTTCATGTTTCAGAGGCCAGAGGTCAAATCAGGTTTCTTCCTATCTAATTAGTTTTTAACCTTTTTAAGAATATGACTTAGCTAGGCAGTGTTGGCTGTAGGCAGACTTTTCTGTCCCACCAGCCAGCTCCCAAATAACCACATAGAGACTTATTATTAATTGTGAATGCTCTGCCAATAGCTTGAGCTTTTTACTAATTAGCTCTTGCCTCTTAAATTAACCCATATTTCTTATCTGTATAGTGGTACCTTTCTTCAGTATGGCTTGTTCATCTTCTCCCCACATATCCTGGCAACTCTGCCCTTCTTCATCCATGAGCTTTTTCCCCGTTGGCAAGTCCCACTTAACCTCTTCCTGCCTAGCTGTTGGCCATCAGCTCTTTATTAAACCAATGAGAGCAATACATCTTCACAGTGTACAAAAAGACTGTTCCATAACAGTGGCGCAGGCCTTTAATCTCAGCACTCAAGAGGCAGAGGCAAGTGATCTCTGAGTTTGAGACCTGCCTGGTCTACTGAGTGAGTTCCAGGACAGTCAGGGATACACAGAAAAACCCTGTCTCAAAAAAAAACAAACAAAAAAGAATATGATTTATTCACACATATGTGCTTGGTGCCAGCAGAGGTCGGATGAGGTGCTGGCTCCCCTGGAGCTGGAGTTAAAGAACAGATGGTAGTGAGCTGCCGGTGAGTGCTGCGACTCGAACCCAGGGCCTCTGTAGGAGCAACAAGAACTCTTATTGGCTGAGCCATCGCTCTAGGCCCTCCATCTTGTTTTTTGGGACAAAATGGTCTCTCACTGAACCTGGAGCTCACTGACAGGCTGCCTGGCCGACCCATGGGAATCTACCCATCTTTCCTTCCTTGGTCCTAGCCTTTATTTTGAGACGGTTTTATCCAGCATGGACTGCCCTTGATCTCCTTTGCCTCCCAAGTGCCAGGATTAGTCTATACCACCATGTCCAGAAATTATTATCTTTTAATTAATTTTTTCTATGCTTATTTTCATTTTATGTATATTGTTTTGCCTGCATATATGTGGGGGGGGGGGGGTGTTGGATCCCCTGGAACTGGAGTTAAAGGCAGGTGTGAGCTGCCATGTCCTTGATGAACCGGGGTCCTCTGGAAGAGCAGCCAGTGCTCTTAACTGCTGAGCCATCTCTCTAGCTCAGTTATTATTTTTAAGGTCACTCTGGCTGCTGTATAGGTGAAAGACTGCAGGGAGATCAGGGAGGGGACAGTTTTAACTTCTCAGGTGGCAGATGATGGAAATGAGGTAAGAAGTGGTCAGACTCCAAGTTACACTTGTAATTGTACTCGGTGCCCTATCTGGAGTGAAGACCTTTTGTTTATCTCTTCTCGGGAAACAAACAAAAAAAACACCACCTGGAAATAAAGGCTTGATTTCTTTTTGCAACCAAGAAAACATTATTAGCGTCATCATGGGGTAAAGAAGGGAGGAATGTTGTTCATCTTGAAACAGACTTCAGCCCTTGAGATCAAAGCTCCCCTACTTTTCTCCCTTAGTACCCCTAAACTAGACGGTATACTTTATGCACGGAGCACCCTGATTCTCTACAGTGTGGCTGGCTACTCCTAGGGCATTCCCAGGGAGAGACCAGGCTATCCCTGGGAAAATGTTTCCTAGCTCTGAGGGCAGGGAATCACAAACACTGGTTTCCTAGAATCTTTGCTTCTTACTGAAACAAACTTTTGTATCAGATCAATTGTGCCTGGGCCACTAAACTAGAAAAGGTCCCGACTGTACCTACCACCAGAATAAAAAAGCCTCAGGCATTTCCATATGGCGCGAAGGGAGCTGAGAAAGTAGAGATACCACACCAAAGCCGTGTAAAAACCTCTGCATCATCCATGGGCCACGGGGCGGGAACCAACAGTGCTGCCCAGCTCAGCAGCTGCAGAGGCCGCCCGGCAGAAGCCCCGCCCACCATCCGGGCAGCCAATCGAATCCCAGCAGCCGCTCGTCCCGCTACCCCTACCGGCGGGAAGGCGGCACTGCAGGAGAGCCGGAGCCGGGCGCAGGCGGGCGCCTGGAGAGGTGAGCGCAGGCCGGGGAGGGGCGCGGGGCTGGGCGCGAGTTCCTGCAGTGCGAGGGCGGGAGCCCGAGGCCGTCGAGAGGCCCCGAGCCGCCCTTCGGGACCCGGAGCATCCTGGTCACCCGCTTCTCACTGCCCGGCCCTTCGCAGGCCCGGTGGCGGCGAGCCGGACACTCCGCTCTGCAAGACGGGCGTTACCGAGTGCAGCCGGTGACACAGAAATGCAATTTGCTTCTCGTTTGAAAGTGTAGATGGTTTCGGGCCTTACGTAGTAGATTGGTGGCTGCATCGCGCGGTGTTAATCCACCGGACTGAGCCTGAGCCCGTGGTTAACCCGTTTCATCTCCGGAATGGAGACTTTGAACTCTGCCCTGGAATTTTGAGTGATGGGTGACCATCTGCTCCAAGAGTGTCCTTTACTCTCTCCTAGCTGCACTTTATTATTTGGAAACTGAAGAAAAAATAAGTGTTGCAAGATGCTGTGAGGATTTCACTGTAGGCTGCGTGCTATCTGAAAAACTCAGAAATAAGGCTGAGGTTATCTCCTACTTAAAAAAAAAAAAAAAAAAAAAAAAAAAACCAGAACTAAAGCCGGTGGTGGCACACCCTTTAATCCCAGAATTCAGGAGGCAGAGGCAGGCAGATCTCTAGTTCTAGTTCTACAGAGTGCGTTCCAGGACTGTTACGAAAAAAACCCAGTCTCGGAAAAAAAAAAAAAAAAAAAAAAAGAAAGAAAATGTTATACTTATGCAGTTTTCCTTACAGCTGCCATTAGATTTGGGGCACATTAGCTCACCTCTTCCTGTCCGTTTCCTCATTTGTCGAAGTAGGGCTAAGGATAATGCTTGTTTGGTAGGATGGCTATGTAAGGCAACAGGATTTCCAACATAAGATTTATTATTAGCACTCATAATATACAAAGCAAACAATATTGTACTGCAAAGTTCCTGCCATAGTTAATGAAATTTCCATATTACTTCCAAGAAGTTTTTGAAATTATTGAACTAGAATACTAGAGCTCATTTTATTGTAAAAGTTTGTATTAATAAATATGCAGATACATTTCTTACATTGTACATTCCAGAACAACACACATCGAAGTCTAATAGGAGACAAAGTATTATCAATAGCCAGAAAACTAAGAAATATGAATGATTGCCAGACAGTGGTGGCACAGGACTTTAATCCCAGCACTTGGGAGGCAGAGGCAGGTGATCTCTGTGAGTTTGAAACTAGCCTGGTCTACGGAGTGAGTTCCAGGACAGCCAGGACACAAGAAATCCTATCTTGAAAATAACCTTAAAAAAATAAAAGGCCAGTCTGGTCTCCAAAGCGAGTTCCAGGAAAGGCACAAAGCTACACAGAGAAACCCTGTCTCGAAAAAAACAAAAACAAAAACAAAAAAACAAAACAAAAAAAAAAAAAAGGTAAAAAAGGGGCCGGGCGGTGGTGGCGCACGCCTTTAATCCCAGCACTCGGGAGGCAGAGCCAGGCGGATCTCTGTGAGTTCGAGGCCAGCCTGGGCTACCAAGTGAGTTCCAGGAAAGGCGCAAAGCTACACAGAGAAACCCTGTCTCGAAAAACCAAAAAAAAAAAAAAAAAAAAGTAAAAAAGGACCTGGGCAGCGGTGGCGCACGCCTTTAATCCCAGCACTTGGGAGGCAGAGCAGGCGGATCTATGTGAGTTCGAGGCCAGACTGATCTACAAAGTGAGTTCCAGGAAAGGCGCAAAACTACACAGAGAAATCCTGTCTCGAGGAGAAAAAAAAAAGTGAAGAAGGGAGGGAGGGAAGAAATATTAATGACTAACTACACTTGAACTTTTAGAACTAAGAAATTATCTGAGACTTCTGGGACTCAGGGACATAATTGCTGTTAATATTTTGGTGTGTGTAATCCAGACTTTCCTGTATTGTCAATATATTTTACTCTATAGGTCTCATTATAAAACATGGCTGAGGCAGGAGGGTTGCTGAGAGTTGGAGGCCAGCCTAGGCTGCAGAATGAGTTTCGTGCCAGCCTGGGCTACGAAGTGAGACCCTAGCTCAAAAGCAAAACTCACACACACAAATCCCGATAAGACAAAGAACAAGATGGAACAAAAGGAAGTGAATTGTTGTTGATCTTCACTGTGGAAAAACAGGCAGAGTTGAGGAGATCCGTGAGTGGAAGAGAGGCAGCCGAGGATGAACTTCAGGTGATTACAGTCGCCACTCTGAGGTGTAGGGAGGACTCTCGGATCAAGGCTGGGTGGGGTATGCAGATAGCGTATGGCAGAGTGTAGCTGGAGCTTCCGATGCCTGCTCCAGGGTTGTAGTGTCTGTGGTAGCCAAATGCAGCTTTGCTGATGAGCTCTGTGTAGCTTGAGTTTTCCTGCCTACCCCACAGTCAGGACAAATCTCTGTCACCCGCCAGTCCCACAGCCGCTCAGACCCAACCAAGTAAACACAGAGACTTATTGAAAGGTTTACAACAAGCCCCCACGGTCGGGTGTGTTTGCATATGCCCGACGGACACTTCCACCTAGCCAGTTCCAGGTCAGGATAGCCATTTCTGGGTCAGGGCATCTCGCGTGACCAAGATCCGTGACATTCCACAGGCTACGTAGGCGTGCAATGTGGCCATGTGATCTACGCCCTTGCGTGTAGTAGTGACGTTGATCTGTCCACGCCCAGCCTTTAAAATCCGGCGCCATGTTCCCGGTTCCTTCTTCTTCTTCTTCCTTCTTCTCCACACACATGTTTCCCGCAGGCCTGTTCACTCTCTGTCCCTTTATCTTTAATAAAACTCTTATTAGTGGATTCTGTCGTGTTTTGTGACATTCCGTGCAGGGTAAGAACACAGCGCAGCCAAAAAACTAACACTTATATTGCTTACAAACTGTATGGCTGTGCCAGGCTTCTTGCTAACTGTTCTTATATCTTAAATTAATCCATTTCTATAAATCTATACCTTGCCACGTGGCTCGTGGCTTACCGGCATCTTCACATGCTGCTTGTCATGGCAGCGGCTGGCAGTGTCTCTGACTCAGCCTTCCACTTCCCAGAATTCTTCTCCTCCTTGTCCCGCCTATACTTCCTCCTGCCTGGCTACTGGCCAATCAGTGTTTTATTTACTAACCAATCAGAGCAACACATTTGCCATACAGAACATCCCACAGCAGCTCTGTGTAGAACTGTGCAGGTGAGGCATAAGTAACCCAGCCTGTCTTCCTTTCTTCACCCTCATTTGGTGATTCTTCATTGGCCAAACACCATCACCAAAGGATCCATTGTCTCTGTGTGCCCCTGCAGTATGGTGGTTCTCAAAGATAGGCTAAACATTTTGTGTTTGTTTGCTTTTTAAAGATTTATTATTTGTGTGTGTGTGTGTGTGTGTGTGTGTGTGTGTGTGTGTGTGTGTGTTTGCATATGCACACGCCTGAGGATACCAGAACAAGGTGAACAAGGTGGCAGGTCCCTTGCAGTTGGAGTTACAGACATTTGTGAACTCCCCGACATGGGTGCTGGGAATTGAACTCTGGTCCTCTGCAAGAGTAGCAAGTGCTCTTAACCACTGAGCCAGCTCTCCAGCCTCACATTTTCTTTCTTTAGTAAAAGCAGCAACACAAGTTCAAAACCCTCTGTAATGAGGTCTGGTGCCCTCTTCTGGCCTGCAGGGACACATACAGGCAGAATACTGTATATATTATAAATAAATAAATCTTTTTTTAAAAAATGGGTTTGGGGATTTAGCTCAGTGGTAGAGCACTTGCCTAGCATGTGCAAGGCTCTGGGTTCGGTCCTTAGCTCTGAAAATAAAAAAATAAAATAAAATAAAATTTAAAAAAAAAAGAAAGAAAGAAAATATGTTTTAACTGTAGATCTTGGTGTTTTGGGTGTGAGCATATCCTTTAACCTCTGAGCCGTCTCCCCAATCCTTTGCTGGAGATCTCTAAAAATAATTAAGATTTTTTTTAGCCGGTAGTAGCACATGCCTTTAATCTCAGCACTTGGGAGGCAGAGGCAGACAGATCTCTGTGAGTTCGAAGCCAGCCAGATCTACAGAATGAGTTCCAGGACAGCAAGGGCTACATAGAAAAATCCTATCTTTGTCAAATACAAATGGACTAGACATTGAAAAAAAACAAAAATAATTCCTTGATATGCACTTAATTTTGCTACTTATTAAAGTGTAAAGCAAATTTGCATACTAATGAGATAGATGTGATTGTTTTACATTTTTCATACTTCACTGAAATTTGATACATAGAGCATCTTCAGTGCTTTTCAGAGCTGCTAGATATTTTGATTTTTATAATTGTTTATGCTGAGAACACCACTTTGCAAGGATACATGGGAAATTCTGTCCTGACTCCCAGACAAAACTCACTGGATGATTTTTTAAAAATGAAGTTCAAGTCAGCAACTGAACAACAGTTTTAAAATCAAATATCCTAACACAATATGATCTAAAGATATACTAATTTGATGGTTAATGCCAAGGAATGATAGGAAAATATGAAAATTCTTTGCTTTTTTTGTAATAAAACTATTATATTTCTATAAGAGTAGTTTTTGCCGGGTGGTGGTGGCACATGCCTTTAATCCCAGCACTTGGGAGGCAGAGGCAGGAAGATCTCTGTGAGTTCGAGGCCAGCCTGGTCTACAGATCGAGATCCAAGACAGGCATCAAAAGGACACAGAGAAACCCTGTCTCGAAAAACCAAAAAAAGAAAGAGTAGTTTTTTTCAATTTTTTGTTGTAAATAGATTCTTCTCTCATAGAGAGTAGTTCTTGACCATGATGATAGCATCAAACCTGTGCTCGATGGCACTTGTGTGGCTTGACAACATACACAGTGTGGCGTTTTGTCACAGTAATAGAAAGCTGATTGACACAGCCCCCTCTTTACCCATCACATTCTTCTCTCTCCTTCTCTCCATTTTCCTGCCAATATTTGACAAAATCTGGGATAATCTGATTTTAATAGATCTTAAAACATCAAAGACCTTATCCTACAAAAATAAGATTTAAATTTGGTCAGTGTTTTTTTTTATTTCAAGGATTATGTAGATGATCAGACATGGATGTATACCGTCTTACAGCTTTCAGTGTGACGTTCAGAGAGAGGTCCTGATGTTGGGCACTTAGTGAGCGTTCACGGGATGATTCTCATCATCATGAAAAGAAAAGCCAATTCTCTTTAGATTCTAATGGCTTCATTTTTCTCTAAAAGTTTGTCTCCACATTACTTACCAAGTGCTTTGTCCTTCTCTGCTGACGTACTGTGTTTCTCACTGTGTTTATATGACTGTGGCTTGAGGTTCTGCTATCTTAGCTGGGGGGGGTGGTAGGGTGAGGGGAGTGGGGGTGGGGGGTATTACCCCTTCCTCACACTCTGTCTTTACGGCTTTGCCTCATAGCCACAGTTAGAAGATCACAAAGGACAGATAACGTGTCCTGAGGAGAAAGGAGGACATTACTGAAAACAATGTGTTCTTTGCACAGGCCCAGGTAGTCACGTGGTCTTCCCAAGGCATTCTTGGGGTTGCCTCAAGTAAAGTTTGAGTTTTTTGGTTTGGGTTTTTTGTTTTTGTTTTTTTTAAGATTTATTCATTTACTTTTATTTTTTGTGTATGGGTGTTTGCCTCATGTTTGTCTGTATACCACAGATGCCAGAAGAGGGCATTGGCTTCCCTGGAACTGGAGTTACACGTAGTTGTCAACCACCATGTGGATGCTGGGAATGCAGTCAGTGCTCTTAACTGCTGAGGCGTCTCTCTAGTCCCAGAGTTTCTGTTTTCATGGGAGTTATTATTTCAGTTACTCGTGATTATTATCACTACACTTACTCAAAGAGAATCAGATCCCAGGGCTGGGGCAATGTATAGAGTGCCACAGAATAAATACCCTTGCCTCCCTTCTCAGCCTCTGGTTATCCAGCTGTCCTGTCACAGAGTAACACATCTAGCAGGTCTAAACAACGAACACAAAAAGCTAATCTTTGCAGGATTCTCCGCACAACCCTAGTGTTTCCCTAAGGCTGGCACCAGATCAATGGTGCACCGTCTAAGGGGCCTGGTGGAAGAAACTGGTCCACAGCTCCCCTCTGTTCTAGGGGTTCGGTATCAAGAATACACAGCTAGCATGCTGGCTGAGGAGTCTACTGAAGCTAGCGCTGCTGTCACATCGATTTCCTTTTCTGCTTCCTCCCTCTGCCTGTGACCCCCGGTCTCCGGTCTGGCTCTTCCTTTTGCCTTAATGTAAAGTGTCCGGAAAGACTGTTGAACAGTTCTCTTACGCAGAAAATTCAGGTCCCGTGGGGAGTCAGCTTCGCTTGTCTCTATAAAAGTAAGCTAGATTAAAAAGTGTGAGCTCCTGGGCTGGAGAGATGGCTCAGAGGTTAAGAACACTGACTGCTCTTCCAGAGGTCATGAGTTCAACTCCCAGCACCCACATGGTGGCTCACAACCATCTGTAATGAGATCTGGCTCCCTCTTCTGGCCTGCAGGGATACATGCAAACAGAACACTGTATACGTAATAAATAATAAATCTTTAAAACAACAACAACAACTGTGAGCTGGAACCTGGGGAACTACATCATCCCCATAGAGACTATGTGTCTCTAGCTTCTTATCCAGGATAGGACATAGACCATGCAGATTCACAAATGTCCCTCTCTAGACATTTGCTGAGATGACATCCCAAGGAAGGTGCCCTCCAGCAGCCCTGGAGAAGATACCTGTGTACCGTTCCTGGAGGGCAAAAGGTGGTGGTGGCATTTGAGGGAAATGGGACCAATGATGAAGAAGAAGTGGGGAAAATGGGGTCACGTAGGCTAGCTGTCCTAGTCAGCCTCTCTGCTGCGGTAAATGTGACCAAAAGCTGACCCGTCCCGCGGGCCAGGTTATTGGGGAGACCCGAGGAGGCACCTCCTGAAAGATCAATGGGGGCGAGAGAGAAAGGAGACCAGGCGCAATAAGAGAAGACAGAGTCAGTCTGAGTCGCGTCAAGGTCTCGTTTATTGACTGGGCATTGAGGCTTATAAGCAGGGCTTCAGGTAGGGAGGGGAGCAGGGGAAGCAGGGAGAGAGAAAATTCCTAAGGAGGGGGTCAGGGGCGAGGTCGCTTTGATCCCGGGCCCCCTGCAGTTGACAGGCTCCAGAAAGTTTACCTAATCGCCATCTCCTGCACTTAGGCCAGGAAGGTCTTATCTAGTCACATCTCCTGCAGTTAGGTCAGGAAGTTCTTGTCAAGGCTTGACAAAGTCCAGGACATAGCTGTCCGGAGTCGGTCTCCAACAGTTCCTCCCCTTTTCTCAAAAATGGACCAAGTCCATTGTGATCGGGGTGGCTAGGGTCCGAGAGAGTCCCTGTCTTAGGCTACACAGGGGGCTTCCCACGCTCGGCAGCGTGCCATGTTGAGCCGGTCTCGACGACCTCTGTACGCTGTTGTCTCCGGCGTGAGCCCTGTACTATTCCCGTCATTGGGTACCCTCTAGCAAGACCGTGGGGACGTTAGGGCCTTAGGACACTGAATCTGAGTCCTTGATGGGGCTCCTGGCTGGCCTCCTCGGAATCTACTCTCTGATAATGAATCGAGATGTGTCGTGGTGAGGCCGAATCAATCTAATTTTTGATAAACTGAGTCAACTGCTGAAAGGCCCAGGGACCAAAGGTAATGAGAAGGAGAAAAACAACTAAGGGGGCTAGAATGGTAGGTAGCAAGGTGGAGAGCCAGGGGGACCCTTGCAGCCAATTTTCAAACCACCCGTGCTGGTTTTCAAACTCCCTTTTTCTTTGGGCTAGCCTTTTCCTTAATTTTTCCATCAATTCCCTGACAATACCAGTATGGTCAGCATAAAAGCAGCATTCTTTCTTAAAGGCTGCACATAATCCCCCCTCCTTTAAAAAGATTTCTCCAGAGCAGAAATGGATCTTTCTATGGCCTCTAGGTCAGTAGTCATAGCCATTTGTAACTGCATAAGGTGGTTACTCTGCACGAGGGCAGTAGTTCCTGTACCAATTCCTGCAGTGATGCCCCCAATACCTAACAATAGGGCAATAGTCATAGACACAGGTTCTCGAGTGTATCTGCCTCTCTGCTCAAAGAATTCCATATCGGAGACTAATTGGACCAGAACATAAGAGTTTTCCCATTATCAATGGCAAAGCGAGCTTTCCCTTATTTAGTTTTTGCCATCTGCAAGTGTGTCATGGGTTCAGAGGTGGATATTGGAATTCTAGCATCCTCAGTTTAGTGGTACCCAGACATGAATCATCATTTAGTTAAGACATCAGTGATATAAGAGCCAACAGTAATTAGCAGAAGCACAAGGGACAAAAGCCTTGTGATGGCTGACAGAGTTCCTTATCCTCAAGGAACCTGGAACTTTATCTCAGGTTCCCTATGACAAGAAATTCCCTTTTGATCTAACATTCCAGGGGGGCGGGAAACAAGGGCGATGTTTTCTCTTCTATAATTACTTCCTGCTGACATTGGGACGTTGTTGTCAAGGCCCTGGAAAGCCAGAATGTTAGTCAAAGACAAGAGGGAACGTTTTATTGACCAGCTGAAGAGATGGTATGCATATCGGCTGAATTGGTCCATATCAGCTTTCAGCAAGTTCAGGGCTCAGTCATTTGCAGTAGGTTGTCACCAGCAAATGATGCTTGGATGTATCTGTCAGCCAAGTGGAAACCTGTTGAGATAGATATAAACTAGGAACAGGAGTTAAAACTTACGAACTTATTTGGAACTTTTAGACCCATAGTCTTAGCAATTGTAGTATTATCAATTTGCCCTGAAATCCATAGTGTCTTTTCTATCTAGAGAGCCAAGAATAGATTGGACTGAATTTTCCTTGGCCCAATAAAAAGCATCTGTAAGTCTATATTTAGAACCTGTTTACCTTTTTTTTTTAAAGAGACTTATTAGCTTTAATTAATTAATCCATTGATCAATCAATTACTAAGCTGAGAAAGCTATGGCTAGTCCAGTCATCAATGTCATCAAAGATCTGAGAAGAATAAACTTTACCTGAGTGCAGACTTTTAAATCTAATTAAAAAAAAAAAACAACAACAACAACAACAACAGAGACTATCTATTACCCAGACTGCCATCATCCCAGGCTCCTATAGTCTTCATAGTGTTGGCAGGACAGGTGTCAGGACAGCATCAGTCTTGGCTGCTGGGCCCATAATGTTAAATTTTCCCTGTTGAGGAGCAACTTGGTAAAAACTGACCTTATCTTGTCAGTGTCTCATAGGCCAAATCCCTGGCAGCAGGTGTTGAGTCAGAGCATCTTGCCCAGTGGTCGGTGTTGTCTGCAATTCAGGTGGCATCTTTTTGTCATTGCTCCATATCTTCTTTGGAGACCTTGGGAGTCATTGCTAGGAGCTGGGGAGCTTGGAGTCTCTGTTTGCTATAGTAAGCTTTTTATCCAAATAATGTAAATGCCATATTTATCAGATCTTGACAAGTTTGAGGACCATTATCTATTAAATGTATCTGAGCCAAACAAATCTAGGCCCAATCTTGAAAATATCTCTAAGTTTGGTAACAATAGCCAGGTCAATTTGTTCACCTATAGATATATTAGTTAAATATACCTCTCAGTTTTTTTTTATTAAAATAGAACAGTTTATGCTTTAAACTAGTATCTGAATAGCCAGATGACTAGTATTAACTTGTATTCCTTAGCATAAAGGACATGCAAACTCAGACATTCAAAACCAAACATACATGTGGCCACATTTTTCATTCATACCTGTAGAGTAGACAGACATTTTTACAACTATGACCCTTTGGAGTCTCAATGTAACAGCAGAATAGCAAGACAAAGAAATCTGAAACATGTTTCATCATTTTTTTTTTTATATCTCAAGTCATTTTTTTTAAAATCATTATTTAAACCTTTTCATCCTCAGACCTTTATACCTTGCTTTTACGTATTCTAATAACTTGCATGTTACATATTTTTTAAAACATTTCTTTATTTTTATATCTAAAACCTTTATATCTTATATCCTATATAAATTTTATTTAAATCTTATAATTTAAACTTTAAAGTTAAACTTTAAAGTTCTATATTCTTATATCTCAAACTATTTATTTAGACCCAAAATATCATATATTTAAACCCTCATGACACGCTTAAGCCTTTAAATTTTTATATCTTAAACTGTTTTTTCAAACCAGAAAAAAATCATTTATTTAAACTTTTATCCTCATATCTCAAGCCTTCGTATTTTTATAAAAGCATTATATTTTATCTTAACCAACAATAATTTGAAACCAATTCTCTTAAATGATGGCAAGTATTTGTAACCCATTGAACTCAAATGACCAAAACCCATTGCTATACCCAGATCGCCCCAAAGAAGCCACCTAGAGACTTAGGTACAGAATGCAAAAAGCAAGGTTCATTCAAATGAAGTCAAAGTTTACAAGCCACGGCAGGGGGCTCGTTCCAAATCTCTCACGAACAGCAGGGAGATTGGAAGGAGCGCGCCCTTTCTTTGTGAGGCTAGTTCTTAAAGGCACAGACCACATAATTCATCTCTCACAGCCTGCCTCCATTCTTTCTGGTTCATATCAGTATGTTATCTTTATTTCTTGTTTGTTAAACAACCGTGTCTAGGAGTTTTACGAGCTGTCTCCGGGGTTCGAGAAGTTTGGGATGTTTTATGACCACTTAGCCTCTGTCAGATGGTCATATATTCGGACTCTGTGTTTTTAAGTTTCTGTAGCTGATAAAGCCACCTGGGAAAAAAGGGGTCTAACTTCTTATCTACACTTAGGAATCTTGGTTTAGGCTCCTCTTTGTCTGTAGGGGATAGAGGAAGGGGGGTTATTGAGGTTTCACACCATGTAAATTTTTATTTTTCCTGTGGAAACAAAAGCATAATTTTCCCAGTATCTTGAACTGATAATTTAACATTTCTTTTTAAGCAATACCAGGACAGAGAAGGGTTAACAAGAGAAGCTGCTGGCCGGCAGAAGAGACCTTGAAGTTATTATCACAGTAAAGGGAGGGAGGGGGAGCAGTGGGCATAGAGCGTGTCCTTGGCTGCCAGTGTTCCTGAAAAAAAGTTTTTGTTAACTCCTCTGACTAAAGTCAGATTATCTGTTCAGTGTTCACACAGTTTTTGTCAATTGCAGGCAGTCCCCATTGCCCTGTCCAGAGCTCCTGTCTTTGCCCGCCTGTAAGAAGAGCGCGCACCCCCACCCTCGTGAGAGCGGCCTGCTGGCTGCAGTCCTGATAGCAAGAGAGCTAAGAAGGGACGGAGGTGGCCTTAGTTATGCCTCTCTTTCCTCCTCTTCCTTTAGGAAAATAAGGGAGGTTAGTAGACAGAAACAAATAACATTTACAGAGACAATCCAAGAACCGGAGCATCAGCACTGAGACGACGGCCTCATTCACAGCCAGCAAGTCCCTCTTACAGTATGCAAGCCACACCTGGCAGGAGCTACCTGTTTATCTCAGTTCAATCGGGGAGTGGGGGTGGGGGACCCAGTTCCCTCTATTGTGGCTCAAACATCCTTCCAGTGGGCTAGGCAAAGGTCTAGTGGAGAAGAAGGGAACTGTCCCATAGCGTCCGTCATGGTCAAGTCAACAATGAGAACAGTTAACATATTACACATAAGACCAAGGGCACACGGAAGAAAACTTTGCCCCAACGAGACAACCAACAAAGCTCCAAGAACAATGACAGCCTGATGTGCTCTGGCGGGGGGTAACCCTCCAGGCTCAATCACATCAAAAACAATGCAGACTCGAGGATCTCTGTCCTTAATCAAACAGACATCAGGGGCTTCCACATCCCTGTCAGACATGCACCTTTTTTTTTTTTTTTTTTTTTTTTTTTTTTTGGAAGAGAAGGAGAGAGTAAAGTAACAATGATCACAACAAAACACACACAAGAAACCCACAAAATGGCTCTGACAAATTCCCGGGACAAAATACAAAGTGGCACTTCCTCCCACCGTGGGGGAAGATACCCAAAGATGCTCCTAAACCAAATGGTCACCTCTGAGGTGGCCTTAGGGCTCTGGGACGTCTCCCTTTGCCGCCAGGTTCACTGTCCGGACACGTCTGTCCCAGTGAGAGCCTGCAAAGTACAAATCAAGCCTGCAAAGTACAAAACAAAAGTAACAAGACAGAGAGACACAGACAAGACAGAGAGCGCTCTTACCGGTAAAACATCTCTAATCACACCATAAAAACTAAAAAAGGCGTCGGGGACATTTTCCCCATCTCTGAGTAATTTGTTAATATCTTTTCCAACCTTGTTCCAAGTCAGAGGGTGAATTCCTGGTCCATTAATCACTAACCAGGGACATTTCTCCTCCACATATTGGAAGAATTTTATCAAATCCTTTTTTTTTTTTTTAACTCTTATTCCTCTCTCCCTAAGATTACCTTTCATCTCCTTTAGAAAAACAGCCTCTTTAGATAAATTTTTTGCCCATGATCGATGGGACGACATATTTACCTCAAGACTCTCCCACGTTGCACGAGTGATGCAGTCAGGGCGTCTCTACCCTGATCCTCTCCGGGGGGGCCCCTTCTGTTGTCCGTCGTCCGGCAGGTCACCGTGCCTCGGGCCCCACGTTCGGGCGCCACTTGCCCGTCCCGCGGGCCAGGTTATTGGGGAGACCCGAGGCGGCACCTCCTGAAAGATCAATGGGGGCGAGAGAGAAAGGAGACCAGGCGCAATAAGAGAAGACAGAGTCAGTCTGAGTCGCGTCAAGGTCTCGTTTATTGACTGGGCATTGAGGCTTATAAGCAGGGCTTCAGGTAGGGAGGGGAGCAGGGGAAGCAGGGAGAGAGAAAATTCCTAAGGAGGGGGTCAGGGGCGAGGTCGCTTTGATCCCGGGCCCCCTGCAGTTGACAGGCTCCAGAAAGTTTACCTAATCGCCATCTCCTGCACTTAGGCCAGGAAGGTCTTATCTAGTCACATCTCCTGCAGTTAGGTCAGGAAGTTCTTGTCAAGGCTTGACAAAGTCCAGGACATAGCTGTCCGGAGTCGGTCTCCAACAAAAAGCCACTTGGTGGAGGGGTGGATCTATCTGGCTTACAGGTTAGAGTCAGTCATTAAGGGAAGTCAAGGCAGGAACTTCAGGCAGAAGAAGCCTCACCGGGCACTGAAGCTGGGCAGGGAGGCAGTTTCCTGGCTTGCTTCCTCCGCCCTCCTCAGCTGCCTTTCTTCCGCAGCCTAGGGCCACCTGCCTAGGGATGGCGCTGCCCACAGTGGGCTGGCGCCTCCTATAGCAATTAGCCATAATTAAGAAAATGCCCTACAGACTGGCCACAGACAAATCTGATCTAGGCAGTTCCTCAGTTATGTTCCTGCTCCAAGGCATGTTCTCCAAATTGCAACATTTCTTCCAAGAAAGGAGAAAAGGGTGACAAGGCAAACAGAAATGCTCCAATGTGGGGGGAAAACAGGAACTTGGAGTTAAAAAAAAAAAAGTAGAAAACGGTGGCAAGGGGTGAAGACTGACCAGCCAGGCTGCAAAAAGGAATTCTTCACTGCACTCACTGTCCACCGCAGGCGGCGTGGAGAGCGCCAGGCTCGCGCGTTCCTGGAGTCTGCCCCTGCGCTGTTGAGCACCCCCCGCTCCTTGTAAGTGACCCCTCTTTTGCCACGCCCTGTTAGCGACCCCAGCTGTAAACTTGCTGACTCACCAGCTTGGACACGGGTACAGTTGTCCCTCGGTCTACCCAGGGCTCCCTTCTGGAGGTGAGTCGATGTCTGTGTCTGCCTGTCACACAACAGTCCCCGCCTCCCGGTTCCCTCTTACAGCGTTGACACCTGAAGCTAAGTGTGAAAACAGAATTCATAGAGAGGTTGTGCCAGTGTCCCCCCCGGGTCCTGAACCTCCTTCTACCTTCACAGCACCAACGGAAGAGACCAAGATGAGTGCTGAGGTGAGTTCCGTGCAGAGGGCTGTAAGGGATACTAGTGCTGCTGTGGGCCTTATTTCTCTCCTAGAGTATCCTTTCCCTCTCAAGATTTTTCAAACACACTCCCCGCCCCCCCCCCCAGGCTACCTACTTATTCATGGCTGTGGGTGATGGAGGAAAAATGATCTCCCCTGAGTTTTTATCCGGGCCTGCTGTGGGTCACTATATGCCTCTCCCTGTCAGTCAGTCCCTAGCCATGAAGTGAGGGGTTTTCAGCCGCTGTGTGCTCCTGGCATGGTGTCCTGGCCCTCCAGGCCCGTGCAGCAAGGCCAACTGATGAAGGATATTGTTTCCAGCGTTCCTTATTTTACCTACTCAATATCCCTCCATGTCCCCCCCCCCCCCAAAGAATTTAGAAACATCCCAAACAGTTAGCATTTTCCCTCTAGGCTACTCGTGCACGTGGCTCTAGGACACAGAGGAAGAACCAGGACCTTCTGGGTTGTTATCTATGTCCACCTACCTTAAGTTAGTCCATGCAGCAGGGCCAACCTGTCATGGCCTGGAACCTCCAAAATAATGAGTTAAAACAAAGCCTTTTTATATGTTGACTACTTCAAATATTTGCTATAATCACAAAATGCTAATGTAACTATTGACCATATTCTTCTGGAAGTGTCTCTGTGATAGGGCATTCTGTCTCTGGTTACTTCTTCATAGACACCTTCCAGTGACTTCCTGGATTGTCCACTCTAGCCACCAACCAGGAGCTCATCTGCTCCCACAGCTGTCACTGAAGGGAACTGCTGCACGTGGGGGGGGGGGGGGGCTCCCTCTCAGGCCCCGGATTAGGCACCACACCCAAACACCTGTTTTCATAGAGCGATCCTTTATTAATTGGGGAAGAAAAGTTAAAGTGACTGCTTTCTGACTCAGGCAGAAAACAGCAGCAAAAAAATTACACCTTTCGGGTGTCGTTGTTAAGCAGAGAAGAAGGGGAGGTCTGTGTTAGAACGGGCTAGGCTGTGGTGGTAGAGGAGATTGGGGATGAGGGGGAAGGGGACAGAGGTGTTTGCCCAGAGGGACAAAGGACTGCCTCTGGATACAGAGGAAACAGACATGGCACACAGGCAAATGGTAGTTTATAAAGGTAAAGGGGAAACCCTGTGTTAGGATGAGGTGTTTAATTTTAATTGGGCATGTTAATTAGGAGAGCCAAAGGGGACTTTTGAGTGCTGGACCTTGGTAATCAGCCTCAGGAGGAGGAAGTGGCCAAATAAGGGAATGGACCTTGGGGGCTGTGTTAGAAATGTTATCTAATGGCTTTTAGCAAGGCAGAGGGAACTGGGGAGAAGGGCGAGGCCTGCCAGAGCCACATGCTCGAGTGGGCTAGTGTCCCTTCAGTCCCAGTGAGGTGTGTCTGTCCGAACAGGTCCACTGCAGTCCACATGGTAATTACTGCATTGCTTACCCTCATTGGAAGGTCCAGTAGGGCTCCAATCTCATTGTGGCCTAAAACAGTCTTAAATGCTGGGAATCCATTTACTTCCTTAACTTAGTTACCAAGATTTACACCACATAAACAGTGGATTCCAGACTTAGCTTGTGGCTGTAATGGTAAAATCAATTTTATTTTTCTCATCCAAATTTTTTTTTCAATTTTTAAAAATTAAAGTATAATTGCATCCTTTCTCCCCTCACTTCTCCCCTCCAACCCTTCCATATTCCTCCCCCCATCACTCCCTCTCATATTCATGGCCTCTTTTTCATTAATTATAATTGTTACATATATATGCACATAAATAGAACTGGGTTTAATGAATGTGGCAGTAACTTATATTTGGATTATAATGTGTTGTTATATAGTTTTTAAAATGGACTTTATTTTTTTAGTGTAGTTTATTAACATTTGTCTTCTAGCAGTATTATTTAATTACTGTGTAAAGTACCAGAGTAGAGTGAATATGAAGGTGGCTGGAACTCAGGCATGGTAAGGACTTAAGCAACTTGGGTCTTGAGTCTGAATAAAGAGATGTCTTCCTGTGCGCCCTTGTCTGTCAGCCTCTTACATAGCAGGATTGCCTCTGAATGACTCCCAGCTGAGTAGAGCCCATGTGTGTAGATGCTGGACTCAGGGGAGGTGTGGCTTACAACAGAAAATCCCCTTAACTGTGGAGAAGTGGTCGGAAATAGAACCAAATGGGCGGAACTTTCTGGTAGATGCCCAGGAGGTCTTTAACAGGGAGAAATGGGCAGAGCCCTTTCTGAAAATGTTTTGGTTCCGAGTCTCTTGTGGCTGAGACCTGGATAGTCTTACTCCAACTCTTGGATGTCTGGTTGCCAGCCTCCCTTGCTTGCCAGCCCTCTGTTTTGATGTACTTCATCAAATGCCTGGACTGTTTTCAAACCCCACATTGGTCTTTGGTATTTCAGCCTGAGAAGAAATTTGGCGTGGTTGTGGTTGGTGTTGGCAGAGCTGGCTCCGTGAGGATAAGAGACTTGAAGGATCCACACTCGTCAGCATTCCTAAACCTGATTGGGTTTGTGTCCAGGTAAGTCCCACTTGGGGTGTGCTCCACAATTCATGGAAATCACAGTGAGTGGTAACACCACAGGGCATGGGTGTTTTCTCGACCCAGAGTAAGGGAAAGCCAGCTTCTCCCGAGAACCGCACAGAGTGGGTGCTAGAAACCCTACTAGAGTGGTCGGGGAACTGAAGAGTCAGGGGCCTCCAGCCGCATGTCCAGTGAGTGATGCCCAGTGCAGACCCCACATGGAGCAGCAAATGGGCACGATGTTTGTTTACTACAGAAGCTAATGGTGAGGTTTGGCCTGAAAGAAGTCTGGGTGTGTGTCGCTTAGCCATTCTGTCATTCAAAACAGTCTTCCTGGTGGCTTTGCACACTGTTGTCCTTACACCGTTCTCAGTACTCAGTACTAGTACCAACTCCAGTTCAAGATGAGAAAGCAGGGACATAGACCCATTCAGTGGTCTTGTTGAGGGTATAACAACTGCAAAACCCAAGAATTTCATTTAAAGGAAAGTGTTTGAGTCCAACACTATGTGTTCTTTTCACACTGGTAAGTGAGCTGTGTAACACAAATCTTAACAGGTCTTATTAATAAAAACAAACCTGGAGCCAGGTACTGGGGTCAACGCTGGAAGATCAGAGAAGCAGAACAAGCCACAGCTTCCTCACCTCACAATTCCTCAGCTGATCCTGTTTCCTCAGACTGGAAGCCTCTGTGTCCTCATCCAAATGGATCTCAGCTGAACTGCTGATCAAAAGCCTGAAAGCTTAACCAGGCTCTAGTTCCTTGTCCTCACACCTTATATACCTTTCTGCTTTCTGCCATCACTTCCTGGGATTAAAGGCTCTTGTCACCATGCCTGGCTGTTTCTGGTGTGGCCTTGAACTCACAGAGATCCAGACAGATCTCTCTCTGCCTCTGGAATGCTGGGATTAAAGGCGTGAGTGCCACCATTTTCTGGCCTCTATATCTAGTGGCTGTTCTGTTCTCTGACCCCAGATAAGTTTATTGGGGTGCACAATATATCAACCACAGAGCTGAACTTTTTTTAAATTAATTTTTCTGAAGTTAACATGCACATTATTAGGTCTCCTTATGCATTTTTAAGTAAAATTTGTTCTAGTTGCTTCTTTACCCTCCACTGCCCATCTTCCCGCACTCCACTCCAGGCCCCTTTATGCTTTTATTTTCTGTGTGGATTTTTTTCACCATAACTCAGTGGAAGCAAATTGAACCCTCCTTCTTTCCTTCTTTCTTTCTTTCTTCATGGTCAGGTCTGCCCTCACCCCACTCACCGGCTAAGCATCTGCCATGTCGGATCAATTATGAAGTAGACACAGATGCTGGGGGGTGAGATGTGTTGGGGACAAGTTCAGGCAGATCTCTACTTCCAATGTTCCAGAAGGACATCAGATAAATATTTTTCCTTTTTTTTTTTGTTTGTTTGTTTTTTGTTTTTTTCCAGACAGGGTTTCTCTGAGTAGCCATAGCTGTCCTGGAGCTCAGGCTGGCCTTGAATTCACAGACCTGCCTCTGCCTCCTGAGTGCTGGATTAAAGGTGTGTGCCACATGCCTAGCCAGATAAATATTTTCACAAGTCATAAATGACTACTGTGGTGATCTGTGCAGAAAGTCTTTTTGTGTTTAACTCACGGGGCCACATTTTCCCAGCCTGACTGACTTGAGTTGGCTCCTATTTCCAGGCATGAGAGAAAACCATATGTGCTGGGATCTTCTCTAAGTCCATCCTTTCTTCCCTGTCCGATTCAAGGTGGGGAGGGAGGGCTGCATGCAACAGGGAAATCATGATTATTGTTAGCCAACACACCCCAGTGGGCCCTACCTGAAGTTAGAGTCAAGTATAATGTGCCCTCGAGGTTGAAGTGGAAATATTCTTTCTGTAAGCCCTAGTTAGTTGCCACGGTGCATGCCTTGAGACTTCCTCGACCCCCTAGATCATCTGGGAAGATGGCCCACTCACAGCCCTGCTTTCCTGCGTCCTGGTATCATTGTTCTCTTGTCTATGGTCTCCCTTCTGGGTTCCATTTCTTCCCTAGAAAGCCTGTCTTGAAACCTAGATGTGTTC